CCTTCTCTTGTGCCCAGCGTCCCTCTCCTGTGCCCAGTGTCCCTCTCCTGTGCCCAGTGTCCCTCTCCTGTGCCCAGTGTCCCTCTCCTGTGCCCAGTGTCCCTCTCCTGTGCCCAGTGTCCCTCTCCTGTGCCCAGTGTCCCTCTTTTGTGCCCAGCGTCCCTCTCCTGTGCCCAGCGTCCCTCTCCTGTGCCCAGTGTCCTTCTCTTGTGCCCAGCGTCCCTCTCCTGTGCCCAGTGTCCCTCTCCTGTGCCCAGTGTCCCTCTTTTGTGCCCAGCGTCCCTCTCCTGTGCCCAGCGTCCCTCTCCTGTGCCCAGCGTCCCTCTCCTGTGCCCAGTGTCCTTCTCTTGTGCCCAATGTCCCTCTCCTGTGCCCAGTGTCCCTCTCCTGTACCCAGTGTCCCTCTCCTGTGCCCAGAGTTCCTCTCTTGTGCCCATTATTTCTCTCCTGTGCCCAGAATCCCTCTTCTGTGCCCAGCATCATCTGTTGTGCTCAGTGCCCTTCCGCTTGCTGTATTCATGTTTGAGACCTTCAAGCTCCTTCTAGTTTTTCATAAAATGTCCAACAGGTTATAGTGAGCACAGTTTCTTTTAAAAATACTATTCCATTTGGGAGGTTAAGGCATATATATTAATATATGTTTAATATGCATATAATCCCATACATATATATTTACACACACACACAGGATTTATTAAGAGTGACTTACAGCCTGTCACGCGGGAGACTGGGGTTCGATTCCCCGACGGGGAGCCAAAAAAAAAAAAAAAGAGTGACTTACAGGCTGTGATCTGGCCAGTTCAACAACTGTTGGCTACCAACAGTAAGTACAAGAATCCAGTAGTTATTCAGCCCATGAGGCTGGACTCTCAGCTGATCTTCAGTACGTACTGGAATCCCAAAGAAGGTAGGTCCTAATGCAGTGAAGGAGTGGACTTGCCAGTGAGAGTGAGGGTCAGCAGGCAAAGGAGAGAGAGCTTCCTTCTTCTGTGTCCTTTGTTTCAGCAGATGTGGCCCAGATTAAAGGTGGGTTTTCCCACCTCCAAAGATCTTGATTAAAAGTGGGTCTTCCCAACTTCAGAACACAGGTTTACCCTGTCTTGGTTAATTCCAGATGTTGTCAAGTTGACCGCCAGGAGAGTGTACAAGTGACTGCCTGTCCTGCACGTATGTGCATTTGTGTGTGCACTATGTTTGTGTTTGGTGCCCATAGAGACCACACAAAGCATCGGATCCCCTGGAACTAGTTACAGATAGTTATGAACTGCTAAGTTCCTAGCTGCTCTGTTGGTGCTGGGAACCAAACCTGGGTTCTTTACTAGAGCAGTAAGTGCTCTTAACCCCTCAGCCATCTCTCCAGCCTTTGTTTGCTGTTTGCTTTTTCAGCTTTCTTCTTCTTCTTCTTCTTCTTCTTCTTCTTCTTCTTCTTCTTCTTCTTCTTCTTCTTCTTCCTCCTCCTCTTCCTCCTCCTCCTCCTTCTCTTCCTCCTCCTCCTCCTCCTCCTCCTTCTCCTCCTCTTCTCTTCCTCTTCCTCTTCTTTTCTCCTTTTTTTTTGGGGGCGGGTGTTCAAGACAGGGTTTCTCTGTAGCATTGTAGCCTCATCTGTAACTAGCTCTTGTAGACCAGACTGACCTTGAACTCACAGAGATCCACCTGTCTCTGCCTCCCTAGTGCTGGGATTAAAGGCGTGCACCACCACCACCTGGCCTAAGCTGCCAATTTCTTACACTTGCTTGCAGAGATAGTCTCCTCCCATTAGCTAAACTTCAGGCTGTCCCCTAAGGGTCTTTGTACTGATAAGGCCCCTGGGTAGAACTCTGACACCTGTGATCTTAGTCGGGACGCTGACTCCACCCTTATCTCAACTTGACCCTGAGCAGCTGGCTTTCCTCTGTGCACACAGGCAGCAGTGAAGACCCCTGCTATTCACGTGGCCTGGCATTCTCTCACGTGTATTTTTAGTTAACAGTGCAGCTGTCACATATGTCTCCAAGTGTTGTTTATGTCCAATATTATTTCAGTTGCAGGAGGTATCAGATCCATGGTTAGGTGATATGATATACTGTGTTAATGTAGTAGTAATAGGAGTAGTGTGTGTGTGTACACGTGTGTGTGTGTACATGTGTGTGTGTGTGTGTGTGTACACGTGTGTGTACGTGTGTGTATGTTCGTCCCTCCCAAATATGATTTTCCATGTTTGGTAACTGAGTCGTACTGTGGCTGGTTTCCTTCAATTCTTTGCATGGGGAAGGAGCTTCCCTCCCGCAGGCACACATGCTCTGTGGGCAGCTGTGGGCAGCTGTCTCTCCTGATCTCTGCCTGGACTGTGTCTATTTCTTTACTGCTGGGGCTACCACCCAGGTGGGCTGGGTGCTGTGTTAATTAAATTCCTGGGTGGGGCAGCTTTGTCCAAGAGGTTCCGATCTCCCGAACTCCACCGGCATTCTCACCAGCCAATATGAGTGCCCCCTGAGGCTGGGTTGAGCCCTGCCTGCTGAGAGGTACATTACCAGGTTGCCAGGCTGGCATGCTATGCTTTGCTTTGTCCGCACAGCCCTTGGAAGGGCTCCGCTAGACCCACCGCTCTGCTGGTCAAAGGACTCCTGTCCTCTGAGGAGCTGGGGATAATTTTCTGTCCCTGCATTCCTGGCTTTGTAAAAATAAAAGCAGAATTCTTGGAAGTTAGACAAGACCAGCTACTAGACAGCCGTTCAGAGCCGCAAAGAACCAATGTCTAGGCTAGCACATGTGAAAACGCCTTCAAAAGAAGCCCTGAGAGACAGGGAGTGGCTGCAGGTGTGTATTAAGTTTCTAGAAAAATATCAAAACAGCGCTAAAAGAAAAGCAACACATTGGGGCTGAGCCCTGAATGGGCAGCAGCCGCTCCTAGCATGCGGCCTGTTCTGCACCACCCACCCATGCCCATGTCCTTTGGCCCCGCACTGCTAGCCTAGCCTTTGTCTGTGTCTCTTTGTCTGCCACAAATTCCTCCACCCAGTGCCATGGGGATTGAGGCCAGCCAGATTTCCATCCAAGGCTTTTTGAGTGATTCAGTCATGTTCAGAAAAGGTTTTGCTTATTTTTTTAATCATAAAATGATGGTTGCTCTTTCCTGAAAATGTTCACAAAATTTTGTGAGGTTGAAAATAAGGAAAGGATGGACTAGAGAGATGTGTCAGCAGCACGGCTCTTCCAGAGGACCTGAGATCGATTCCCAGCACCCATGGGAATTCCCAACCACCCATAATTCCAGCTCCATAGGAGCTGACACCTTTGGCCTCTGCAGGCATCCATGTTCACACGCACATACACACACATACATGCATGCATACATACATATGAATAACTTAAAAAGATAAATAAAAGGGTTGAGCGGTGGTGGTGCACGCCTTTAATTCCACCACTCAATAGGCAGAGGCAGGTGGATCTCTGTGAGTTCTAGGCCAGCCTGGTCTACAAGAGCTAGTTCCAGGACAGCACCAATGCTATACAGAGAAACCCTGTCTTGAAAACAAACAAACAAACAAACAAACAAAGAGAAGTGGGGAAATCTTTCAGTGGTGATCTTGGCATGGATAGTTGCCCTTTGCCAAGTAATTTCTGAGGTCATGGTGGCTCTCTGCATGGGAGAAATGTCAGGACTTTGAGGGGCTGGGCCACTTCTACACACCCTCAACTCTAACTTAAGTCACATGGGCTCAGTAATGGAGAGTCCCTGACCTTTTTATATGAGTGATGTTTATTTTTTTCTTTTTAGTGTTGATTTTTTTTTAAAGATTTTTTTTCTGCTTATGTATGTATATGCATGTAGTACCTGTGTAGGCCAGAAGAGGGAACCAGACACCCCTGGAGCTGGCTGTTGTGAGCCACCATGTGGGTGCTGGGAACTGAACTCAGGTCCTTTTGCCAGAGCAGCCAATGCCTGCCTATGGGCACCTTATACTCTCATGCCACTTTAAATAGCAGCATGGCTGGGATACAGCTCCATGGGAGGGAGTTTCTTTAGCAGGTGCACAGTCCTGTGTTCCATCCCCAGCATTCGCAATAAAACAGAACAACGAGAAAATGGTGTGGGGAGGTGTTGCGTGTTATCGTGGGTGCCCATTCTGGTTGGCTTCTTCCAGGAACCTTGGGCTTTCTGTGCAAGGCATCATGGGAGACTGGCAGATAAGTCAGAACCAATCCCTTGCCATGGAATGTGGCGGTAAATAACCTTCATCCAAAGCAAGGTATAGTCGCTGTCGGCTGACACCTAGATCCGGAATGCAAAAAAGCGTTTTGTCCCCGCTTAATGGGATTTTACAAACACTGGATGAGAAATTCTGAGGCTTTGTGTTCACGGTGCAGGAGGAGGTTAGGAGCCACCTAGCCGAGGGGATTGGTGTGGGTGGGCGGTTTGCCCCAGCTGGCAGGTGTCGCTAAGGAACAGGCGGGGTTTATCAGACGGGCTGGGTCAGCTGCTTGTCTGTGTCTGTGTCTGTGAGGACCCCCCCACCACCATCACCACAGAGGGACACAAACAAGAATTGCTGGAGTCCCAAGCTGGTGTGAAGTAGGGACAATCTAAGCTCACAGTCATCTCCTTGCCATGTTGATTTCAGGAGTGTTCTGGGTTTCTGTGCGTTCCGCTGATGCCAGAGGCAATGTTCTTTCAGTTGAAGCTTTGGATTCATTCAAATCAGTCTCGTTTTGGGTTTCACTTTCTCTGCCTGTGAGCTTTGAGAGTCTTTTGTGGAGGGCCTGAGAATGTAGTTAGGAGCCACCTTGCTCCCAAGCTAAAGAATGGGACAGGAAACTTTGTGACAAGGGAATGTCTCTACCAGCCGACTGCTCACCCAGCAGAGGCTATACCTGCTTTCTCCCTGCCCATTTCAAGCTCTGGGCGCTTTAAGATTGACAGCTGTGTCAAATGGGGAGAATAATGGGGGGGGGGGTACTGATATGCTGTGTTTGCTGCCTGGGGTCTCTCCATAGCTCTGACCTCGTGTGGGCTTTCCCAGTGTTCTCAGGTGCCATGACGCAGCGGCCCCAGGAGGACTTTGACAGAAGTGTGGAGGATGCCCAGGCCTGGATGAAGGTGGTGCAGGAACAGCTCCAGCTCAATGACAACACACAGGGGCCCCGAGCCGCCCTGGAAGCACGATTGCGTGAGACGGAGGTAGGCAGTGATCCGGCTTCGCAGGCGCTGTGGGATTGGTTGCCTCCCTTCTGCTCTAGCTGAGGGACTGTCGAGTTATTCACACCCTGACCTGGGTTTAGATGTCCTGATCATTTTGCTTAAATATGCATTCTGAGTAGTTTGGGACTGAGACCGAGGTTCTGATCTTCCAGAAAGTTCTACAAGATGACCCGGTTGCTGTCCATACGACTGTCACAAGACACCCCTCTTTCCAGACCAGGGTGGGCATCCTCACATCCAGGAGGGTCACCTACCCCTGTTGGCTCAGGCTTGCCTCTGCCTATTACCCACCCCTCAAATCCAAGGCTTCTGTTGGGCATGCATTGGCTCACTTCTGCCCTCAGTAGGGAGCAATTACAAACTGTTGGTTGGAGGCTGGAGAGATGCCTCAGCTCTAAGTACGTCATCCCACTCTTGCAGAGGTTTAGAGTTCAGTTCCCAGCATTTCTGTCAGGTAGCCCACAGCCACCTGTACGCTAGCTGTAGGGGATCTGTTGTCTTCTGGTCTCTGTAGGCACCTGTGCTCACACAGACCCTCACACAAACACATGTACACATAACTAAAGATGGAAGAAATTATTAAAAAAGTGGGAGGAGTCTGGAGAGATGGCTCAGCAGTTAAGGGTACTTGCCATTCTTTCCAAGGACCTGAGTTCAATTCCCAGCACCCATGTTGGCAGCTTATAACAGCCTGTAACCCCAGCTCCAAGGGATCAGAACTCTTTCGGCCTCTGTGGATACACATGTAGCATCCATACACAGGCACACATGTGTTGATTTGGCCAGAGTCCTCACAGACACCCTCAGAGGTGTGCTTTGCTAGTCTCCCAGGTGGCTCTCAAAGCAGCCACGATGACAGTTGAGGCTGACCATCAAGAGCCTTTTGTCGGTTTCCTCTTAAACTCTCTGTGGCTCCCATTGTCTACCAAAGGAAAACTAAGCCTCACCCAGTGTTAGAAATCCTCCCTGTCTAAGATCCTCCTTTCTTACCCCAGCAATCCTCCCTGTCTAAGACCCCCCATGTTGTTACCCCAGAAATCCTCCCTGTCTAAGACCCCCATTGTTGTTACCCCTCCCAAACCAATGCCCTCCTCTATTTCCTGTCACTGAGCCTTTGCCCACGAACTGCGTCTCCTCAGAAAACCCATCAGTTGGCATGAGTGAGCATATGAAATGAATACTGGCTTCCTGGTGCCCTCCTGCCCATTGCTGTCCATCAGCTCCGCTGTCCTCCCCTGCCCTTCCTCAGCTGCCTGTCACGTGAAACCCTGCACCTGCTGGCAGGCTGGCAGGTTGCGATTAAGGGCCAAGAGGGACATAGGAGGAACTGTTTTCTAGACTGGTGTGTGTGTGTGTGTGTGCGCGTCTCTGTTCATATGCTTGTGTGTTCAGGTCGTGTATGTGTGTACGTGTGTGTGTGTGTGTGTGTGTGTGTGTGTGTGTGTGTGAAAGGGCCCAGCCATGATAGTGGGAGAACCATCTGCTTCCTATGGGTTTGGACACTGGGACACAGGCCATACTTGTGGTCACAGGGCTCCCAGATTTTCTCCCAAATGTCTGTGTCTCGTTCTCCTCACTCTCTGGTTTCCAGCCTTCTGGGGTCTGCCCTTGAGTCCCATCCTCAGATCTCTCAGCGGCTTCCAGGCCTCTTCCCTACCAGGAGCGCCTCAGCCTTCGCTGCGGTCTGACCTCCAGAAGCTGGGTGTGTGCATCCCGAGTTCTGTCTTGCTCTCCGCCTTTCCAATTGTGGGCACCATTTCTACGTGTGGCATCAACGCTGCCTCCTTCAAGAAGCCCTTTTGGATTTTTCCCAATTCTTCTTTGAGCTCCCAGGTGGTTCTTTTTGCACCAGTGTCTGGATTCTCTTGTCTGCAGCCTTCCCTCTGTCCTGCCCGGAAATCCCAGAATGGGCCACACTGTCCAGCGCCATGCCTAGCCCGTGGTCAGCTGGCGTTGGCTGGGTTGAGGGAAGCCTTTGGCTAGGATTGTCCTCGCTTTCGCTGCCTCCTTCTCTCCATCTAATTGGCTCCCATCCTTGTCACCAACTGCCCCAACCCAGCAAAGTGACATTGCTGCTTCTGTCTTGCTAAACTTCCCTGAGATCCCCGCTTGCTGGTGAGGGTCCTTAGGTTGAGCAAAAGCTACAGAAGGAGCCCCCATGCCATGGCAGGGTGGGTATGGCAGGAGGGACCAATTCTTCATCTCTGTTCCTCCCTCCCCCTTCTCTGCTGTGGCTCTCAGCCTCTCCTGGCCTCGGGCACAGCAAATATCTCTTCTGGTTTGGTGACAGGTAGGGACAAGCCTGTAGGTCTGGGGAAGGGAGGTGGCTTAGGGTTCTGTCTCCTCTGGGACCTGTCAGCTCTTTTGCCCTTTCAAGGACACATCAAGATTCCATGCTTGGGAAGAGTGGAGGGTCTCGGTGTTTTCATATCTCTCCAAGTCCAGCCTGTGTCCCTCCCATGGGAGATCAGGTGGACAAAGGCAAGCTCACCCAGTAGGGTGCTTAGCTTTGGGGGAAGGAGAGCTTTGTGCTGGTCACCTCACAGGCACAGGCACACCCCTTAGGGGGCGTGCCCTGCAACGCTGAATTTTACTTCTTCCCCCAAGTTAAAGGGTCTCTTGGTTTGCAGAGGCCAGCAGAGCCCAGTGAGACTCAGGGACCTAGAAGCCTCCCTGGCTGCTGTAGTCTCTACCCAAAGCCCCTGGCATCTGTGGACCCTCAACATTCTTAGCTGTAAAACTGGAGAGAGAAACACATCTATCCTGCAGGTGTGAGGACTGTGGCGTCTCCTTCATATATCTGGGTATGAGAGACAGCGTCTACTAGTTATTCTTAGATCAGATCTCCGGCCAGCAAAAGATTCATTCCCAGCCATACTGCAGGACCCCGTTCCTGGTGGTGGGCGGCATCCCGCATACTGGATGCTCAGTCTAGAACACTCTGCAAGTGGCTCTTGCTTCTTCAGTCTACCGTGGTCAAGGAGGTATTGCTGCCTTCCTCACCGCTGGTTGTTACTGAGTGGGACACAGAGAGGGTGGCTCACCACATAGAACAAAGGAAACTTCTTCTCTCCTGTAAGGATGCTCCCAGTGCTTCTCCTGACCTGGTCCCTCAGAGAGACAGGGGAAACGGGAGGGAACTCTGATAGCATGTGGGAGTGGGAAGTCTCTGCATTACACACTGCTGACATCCTGGCTAACGTTTATCATATGACACAGAAAAGAGGGGTGGGAACTGTCCACATGTCTTGGAGGAGGGTCTGTCTAATTAAGTAGCAGTTTTGTCAATATGCTTAGCAACAGTGTGTAAGTAATTGGAGGTTCCTCTCCTGCCTGCCAGTTCCCGAATAACCCCTCTGAGGCTCAATATTAATTACAAACGGTTTGGCTGATGGCTCAGTCCTCTTACTGGCTAGCTCTACATAGAAATTACCACCCTGTGCCCTGTGTCTTACAGGGAATGTTCTGGCATCTTACTCTTTCAGCAGCTGCTGGCATCTCCCCAACTCCACCTTCTTTCTCCCCGTATCTCTGTTTGAATTTCCCGCCTTGCCATATTCTGCCCCGCCTTAGGCCAAAGCAGCTTCTTTATTAAGCAATGGTAATAACACATGTTCACAGCATACAGAGGGGCATCCCACATCAGTTGGACATAGCAGGGGTTTCTGTATTGAAGTGAAAGGGATGCATAGAATAGTCATGTGATCTGACTGACATCATACACTGTCAGAGAGAGCTGCATTTGAGTGTCGGGAGCCCTTCCTTCTCCATCCACTTAGAAGGGATGGAGACAACCACACAGCCCAGGACATGAGTCGGAGAAAAAAACTTGAGGTTAGGCCAAGTAGGTAGGTGGCAATCAAAGAGAAAAAATGAAAGATTCTATTATCTGCAAAAAATGTAATAATAGCGGATAGTTATTGATGGCCAGCACCGTGAAGGCCAGGCAGCACGCTAGCGTGTGACTTACTGCAGCCCTGGTGTTGACATTGCTACCTTCTTGCCTGTCATAGGTCTGATGTGCGGAAGCCACATGGCAAAGGTCACTCTAGAGTGACCCTTGAGTCCATCAATGGCCCTGGAATTGGTCCTGCCACCTGATCAGAAAGTCAGACTTATGTCTGTGAGATGGAATAATAACAATAGCGACAGTAGCTGAGGTTCGCTGGCTGCTGTGCTCACGTGCACCCTCAGACAGCTGAAGGCAGGATGAGATTCAAGATGCGGGGCATCACTGGGCGATGGGGTGCACACCCTTAATCCCAGCACTCAGGAGGCAGAGGCAGGTGGATCTCTGTGGGTTGGAGGTCAGCCTGGTCTACACAGTGAGTTCCAGAAGGACAGCCAGGGCTACACAGAGAAACCCTATCTCGGGATAAAAGGGATGCAGGACATCTATGAGGAAGTGTACCTCTGAAAGATGATGATGGGGTACAGGACTGGCAAGGTTTATCAGAAGGGTCGAGGGGCTTACTGTGTGTTCCAGTTTCGTTCCGTGGCTGTGATAAACATGGTAACCAAAAGTGGAGTAGAAAGGGATTATTTGACTTACACTTCCAGGTCATAATCCATCACTGAAGGAAATTGAAACTGGGCATCAAGCTTGAAGGAAAAAACATGGAGGAACAATTTGCTCTCAGTCTCTGTCTCTCTTTTGCCTCTCTCTCTCTTACAGCCCAGGCCCACCTGCTTAGGGATGGTGCCATCCACAATGGGTAATGAACAATCAGGACAATTCCTTCACAGGCATCGCTGTAGGCCAGTCTGATCCAGAAGACGTCTTAATTGAGACCTCCTCAGATGAGTCTAGGTTTCGCTAAGTTGACAGGATACCTCATATCTGGCTACATGAATCTGACTGAGTCCCAGGGCCCCAAATAGGAGAGAACAGAGCCTCCCATGGTACATATGTACCATGACATATATGTACCTGCACTCATACACACACACAGAAACACACACACACATACTAAATAAAGTTAAAGAGACAGAGATGAGGGCACAGACTGGGAGAGACAGACCAGATTGGCCGGACATGGGCAAGGCTCTGTGGTGTTGTTGAGTCACCCATCAGGAATGGACTGTAGAATTCCTGCCACCCGTGGGAGCAGGGCCTTGTAGTAAAGAGCAAAACAGTATGACTGACTCCTCTTGAGCTTGGCTCGGTGGGGACCACAACAGAGTCTCACAGCAGACTTGAGGGTGTCACCTCACGGCCACGCACATGGTGATGCATGCGCCTAGCCTTGTTTTCTTCTGAGTTAAAGTCCGAGAGGTTGATCTACTCATACCATGGTCCAGGATGTGGAAAGTATCCCAGGAGAGAGTGAACTTTCTCTGAGTTGGAAGCTGGATGCAGGCAGTGGGAAAGGGAAGGGCTAACCTCCAGAGCTCCCTCTCCCTTCCCCAAGCCCTTAGCAGTTTGCTCAGGGACACACAGAGGAGCGTATGGCCTTTGGCTGAGCTGCAGCGACTCTAGCCTCGAAATCCCAGCTCTTGGTGCAGGGCCGGTGCCTGTGCCGGTGGTGTTGGGTCTAACCCTGGGAAACTGCTGTCATACCCACAGAAAATCTGCCAGCTGGAGCCCGAGGGATGCATGAAGGTGGAACTGGTCCTGCGGGCAGCTGAGGCCCTCCTGGCTACCTGCCAGGAGGGCCAGAAGCCCGAGATCCTGGCCCAGCTGAAGGATATCAAGTCCCAGTGGGAGGAGACGGTCACCTACATGACTCACTGCCACAGGTAGGGATGGTCAGGAGACCTCACTGCTACATGCTCAGGTGCTGGTGACCCTCCTTGTCCAGTACTGTATTGTCGTGGGACCCCTGTTAGAGAGACACTTCTTCAGGCTGAGGGTCCTGGGAACAGCATGTGCTCTTCGGATTCAGGCCAGGGCCTCTTTCTAATCCCACGCAAGCATAATGGTGATGATGGGCGGACATGAGAAACTTGAATATTTGTGCCAGCAGACCTAATGGGTTTGTGTATATGTCTTCTGCATCATGACAAACATATGAAGGCCTGTCCCTGCCTAGGGGGATGGCTCAGTGGCTAAAGTGCTTGCTTTGCAAGTAAGAGGACCTGAGTTCAGATCCCCAGAGCTCATGTAAATCTGATCCAACAGCTGTCTGCCTTCCAAGCCTTTCTCTCTGACATCACAAACAAATGTCTTGATGTTGACTGTAGAACTAGGGCCATCTCCACATTAGAGAGGCAGGCACTGGGGCAGATGAAGGGGCGGGGCTGCCCTGAGAATTCACACAGGCCCTCAGTCCTCTATCCCTACTTGGTGGCCACTAACTGGCTTGCAGATAATTGTATTCTGCCTAAGGTCAGGCACAGTCCTGGGGCAATCTTCTAATTGCTTCCAGGTAGCATATGCTAAGGGCCTGGGACCACTGTGGGCAGAGTGAAGGATTTGTGTACTGCCAGTGGGAGTTCATAGACAGAATTTGGGGTACTGGTGGCTCAGGGCCACCTGAACTTCATTTCCCCAGTGGGTGGCTGAGGGTACCTATAGAATCTGGGCTTGGCCTCGTGTGGGAGATTACTTACAGACTGCAAGGTCTCATGGGAAAGGAGAGTCTAGAATCTGGAGTGTGACTCAGTGCAGAGAAGGCACCTTCATGTCCCTCTAACACAGTCCCTAGTATCTGGGAGGGGGCCGTGGCGGGGTCTCTCACCCAGGGGCCAGGGGCAGGCCTCTCAGCCTGGCCTTCTCTTCCACAGTCGCATCGAGTGGGTGTGGCTGCACTGGAGTGAGTATCTGCTGGCCCAGGATGAGTTCTACCGCTGGTTCCAGAAGATGGTGGTTGCTCTGGAGCCCCCTGTGGAGCTGCAGCTGGGCCTGAAGGAGAAGCAGTGGCAGCTGAGCCACGCCCAGGTGTTGCTGCACAATGTGGACAATCAGGCCGTGCTGCTGGACAGGCTGCTGGAGGAGGCGGGCTCCTTGTTCAACAGGATCGGGGATCCCAGCGTGGATGAAGATGCCCAGAAGAAGATGAAGGCTGAGTATGACGCTGTGAAGGCCAGAGCCCAGGTAAGTCATGGATGGCTCCATCTCCCACCAATCGCTCTTCTGCACGCTCACAGCCGTTCTTTCATTAGCCACCTTCCATCAGTCTATCTCCCCACCCACTCCCCACTCAGCCTCCTGGCCTGTCTGCTCCCTTCCTCAGTGTGTCTGCAAGCCTCCCTTTCACTCCCTACTACCCACCCCGTCCATCAGTCTCCACTCTCCTATCTCTCCTACCCATCTGGTCCCTCACTCACCAGTCTACCGCTTCCTAACTAACTCGTCTGTTTGTCTCTTCAACCACTTAGCCATCCTCCCCACCCATCTGTCCCCCATCAAGACATCCTCTCATGTAGTAATCATGTCCATCTATTTTCCTGCCCACCACCTACTCACTGTCTGTATCCGTCCACTTGCTCACCCATCCAGCACCCATCGACCAATCTTGCACCTACCCATCCACCTATCCTTCCTCCCATTGTCCCCATGCCCAGACTTGCTTAGGACTTCATACTCATGTAGATGCTTAGTAAATATGCTACAAAGTGGAGGATTGTGCTTCCCTTCATTGTAGAAGGAGCTGTGGGCTGCGTTCTGCCACCCGGCTCCCAGCCGCCTGGCTAGCTTATGCCTTTAAATAACAACATACAAATTGTGTTCATTTAAACACTGCTTGGCCCGTTAGCTCTAGCCTCTTACTGGCTAACTCTCACATCTTGACTAACCCATTTCTAATAATGTGTGTAGCACTACAAGGTGGTGTCTTACCAGGAAGATTCTAGCGTATGTCCATCTTGGGCTGGAGCTTCATCATGTCTGACCAGAGATGAGAGGCATGGCGTCTGGCTCACTTCCCTTCTTTCCAGCATTCTGTTCTGTCTACTCCACCTACCTAATTTTCTGACCTATCAGACCAAGCAGTTTTCTTTATTGATTAACCAATGAAACAACAGATTGACAAATGACCTTCCCACATCACTTCATCCTCCGTCTTTCCTACCCTCCCTACTCCCCCCCTACTTCCCTTCCTCCCCTTCATCCTTTAAGCCTATCTACTAGTATTCTTGCTCTTATCCCAATCCTGCCCATCCTCTTGCCTTATCCTGGCCATGTTTTGGCAATGGTTCACTGAATTACTACGTTAAATGATTACCTTTTAGAAATTCTGCTTTTCTTAATTGGTTGTTAGTATGTCTACCTACTCCTTTCCTTTATAAAAATGTCCTTTTCCTGCAGTGGGATTATGTTCTCCCTGTTATTAAGCATAAATGTCTAACAGTGGAAGCTGCAGGGGTAGGCACTCGGTGTCACTGTGTCTCCTATGGGCGGATGGGCTTCCCTGTGCCTCTGTGATTTCCTACTGAGCCTCTTCCATCAGGGCATGGCACCCATCCCCATGGCTGAACCTACCCTAGCAGATCTCTGTGTTTGCTCCAGCCAGGCGCCCTGGGAATCGACCTTCATGGTCCCTGTTTCTTTGTCACCATGCTTGCTTGGTGGTTCCTGAAGTGAGTGTGCTTATTTATTTGTTTTGGAGACAGGGTATCACTGTGTAGCTCTGGCTGGCCTGGGACTCACTCTGTAGACCAGGCTGGCCTCCAACCCTACTGCCTTCTAAGCACTGGGATGAAGGGTGTGCACTATCATGCCCAGCTGTGAGTGTTTTTAAAAACTGAATGCTGAGCCCAATTGATGCCTTAGGCTCTTTGTTCCATGTTCTGCAAGATGGCTGGCTTTGCTTGTTGCCTATTTATTTACTTATTTTAGGCAACTGCTTCCTTCTTGCTTTGCATTTGTAGAAGTGTGTGCGTGGTCCCACCGTGGCAGGGAGTGAGGGCAGCTCTCTAGGGCTTTGTCTCTCTGCTCCTTTGGGCTTGAAAGTCATTATTCCTCTTACAGCCTGAGGGAAGAGCCCCAGACCCAGCAACCAAGACCTGGGTGCACTATGTGCTTCAGGCTGGTGGTCACGGTGTCCTACTTCTGCAGCAAAGTGTCCCTTTCTGTGTCTGCAGTTCCAAAGGATGCGTCTCTCTTTCCCACATTCCTGCTGGTGCTGTGGGAGGGTATACACTTGTCCTCAGTGCTGGGGTCTCTTGGGGTTCTCATGCCCACAATTTATGGGGAAGAATTTTTATAATAAGCCAGTATGCTGGTTTCCATGTCCAAAGGCCAGGTACCACTGACCCAATAGAAAGAGCCAGAAGTTCTTGATTCCCAAGGTAGACAGACATACATCCCGAGGCAGTTACCACACCTGAGTCCATCGGTAGGGTTGAGGGGGTAGGTTGGGGTGTGGTTGCTTCTGAACATTAGCACAGAAAGGATTTGATATTCCCAGAGAGCTGGGCATAGGGGCATGAGACCTCCGTGATGGGACCAGCAAGGTTGGTGGGAAGCAAGGAGCCTTTCTGGTACAGCTGTAGGTTGACCCCAACATAGAAATGAGGTGTTAGGGCGGGAGGGGAGTGGATTCTGCAGAAGTAAGTTATTTCACCTTTTGACTGCTGGATGAAGCCCGCGAACCCTTGATTCTCTCTTCTTGAACCCCAGAAAAGTTAGAGGGACGGTTTAAGTAACCAGCTGGCTTGGGAAAACACAGAGGCCCACGTGACATCACACTCAGATGTGTGTGTGTGTGTTCTTGTAAGGCGGAAAAGGGTGTTGGATCTTATGAAGCTGAAATTACAGGCACTCGTGAGCTGCCTAACTTGGGTGGTGGGAAGCAAACTTGGATCCTGTGTAAGAGCAGCAGGCGCACTGAACTACTGAGCTGCCTCTCTAGCTTTCTATCTTTCTACCCTGTGCATCCTGGCTATGCATCTTGCTGACCCGCCTTGACAGCCCCAGTCTGTTTTTATAGATGTCCCACATGTGAGGTGGTGAGCCTCTGATATGGGTGAGGATAGGACCACCCCCTTTGGCTTCAGGGACCACCCCTGCAAAGCTTCTAGGCCCAGTCCAGGGGTGAGCAACAGCTTCTGTCTTCCCCAGGCATCAAAAGGGAAGTGTAGGCAGGCCAGCTGGTGCCAAGAGTGTCTTCCTTGTTTGATTTGAAACATTGCTTCCGATTGGCAAACAGCAACATCCTCCCTCTTCCGCCTCTGAGAAGGGTTGCCTGGCATCAGGCCATGGGTCCTAGACTTTCTGCAGCCCTTTGTTGGGGACATAAATCCAAGCCACCCTGTTAATTGCTTTGGTTTTGACATGGCTGATAACTCTGCTTGCTGCAGATGGTTTAATTGTTTGGTTTAATGAGAAGGCGGAGCCCTCAGCCACTCCTTACCCTGTCACCCTCCCCCTGGCTGAGCTGGCTTTGAAATGGTTGTGCCTGGCACTCAGCTAGTCTGGATTCCTGCCTGCTGTCACTCCTTGCCAGCGCCTGCTCCTCATCACACGGACTTTTATTTACTCTGGACTTTTCTGGGTGCCAGCACCTCATTATTCACACGGGCAGTGCTATACACAGTTCATTTATGGGGGGGGTCCCTTCCAACCCTCGTCTGTCACCTTCAGCATTAGCCTCTGAGGTCCCTGGTAACCCGCTGTGACTTATCGGGACTTTCCTGGGATTGGAGGAGCCAAGTGTGCAAACCACAGGAATTGGGGACCATCGAGGGAACTGAAGAGGCTCCAGCCACTTTCTGAAGGTTGAAGACCAATCTGTGAAGGCAGTGGTCCCTGCCAAGGCTCTACTTTGGGATGCAGGTGGCCCTCATCTTGAGATTCTCAGCCTTTCTTCTAAGTAACCTGATCTCAAGCCTTGGCTACCGCATCTCTAAAATGGGGAGATTTTCTTCTGCTTGCTGTAGTTACTGCTGAGGTTTAATGAGTTATTAAGTAGTGTTGGTGAACAGTGTCTCAAAGGAGGGGAACCGTGCACAGACTGCTGGGGAAGGTTTTCAAATCCACCTGCTTGCCCTCCGTAGTGGAGGACTTGAGACTCAGCTTCCCATGGGCTCTGGGCCTTCCTTAGATATGGCCTTTTCCACAGCGAGGAGCTGAGATCACCAACCTTCGGCTGCTGCCCTGTCTGGTTTCTCGTAGGTCTGCTTGGCACTGGGCTAAGAGCAGTTCTTAAGTATTTAAATGGACAGGGAAAATTTCAAAGCCATTTCATGACATACAGAAATGACACGAAGTTCAAGTTCTAGGCTTCATAACAGAAGGTTTCATAGGAACAGGGCTTATTTTCCCCACTGTCTGGCTGCTTATGTGCAAGTAGCTCCCGAGTGAGTAATGGCAGTCGAAGTCACATGACAGGCAAAGCCACAAGCCTTTGGCTTGATAGAAACAGCCTGGGGTCCCCCAGGTTGAGGTCCCTCCCTCCATCCCTATGTGGGGATGGAGAGTGTAGTTAGTGCCATGGTTGCTGTCTGGATCTCAGCTTGGGCCCTGTGAGAGTCCTAGGCCCTCCTGACTCCCAGGGTGAACCTTTTCAGGAGGGTGACCCATTTAATACCCATAGTTCTGTGGCCAATGGGGGTTAAGTAGGTTATGGTTTATGGGTGCCCAGCCACACAAGGTGGCGTGGTGAATAGTCCCCCAATCCTTTCCTCGACTTTCTCTGCAAGCCCCTTCTGTCGTCCTTTGCTCCTCTATTGTTGTGACATAAACTCTGATCAAAAGCTTCCTAATGAAGGAGAGCGTCCATTTGGCTTACTCTTCCAGGTCAGTGTCCCTCATCCAGGGAAGTCAGGGCAGGAGCTGAAGTGGAAACCATGGAAGGGTGCTTCCTGCTACTGGTGTTCTTTATGGCTTCCTCTCTAGGTTTTACACCTTCCTTGCACAGCCTGGACCCTCCACATCTCTGACTGTCCTAGCTGGGTGGCCTTGGACATATCACTCTCTGGTCCTCAATGTCTTTGTCTGTCAATTGGGATACAATTGAGAGCCCCTTACAAATGGGCAGGGGAGTTTCCAGAGTTGGCATGGGACTTTCTTAGCAATGCCCACAACAAGCAAGGGTGAAGGCGAAGGTGAGGACAAGGGCTCAGAAGGGCAGCATTCTGTGGTCGTTACTGTTGTCGATGTTACACTCATGCCCTAGTCAAGTGGCATTCCCTGGACATGGCAGGATGGAATGCCAGCTGTAGGGTTGCCAGGCCAGGTGCTGGCATGTATGGGACTCCAGAGCAATGGGCTCCTAGCCAGGCTGGGGTGTTGTAATATGAGTAGCGGGGCTGCTTCCCCAGCACCCCAGCTGCCCACATGGCTAGCTTATACCCCGAAATAATTACACAGACACTGTATTCTTTTAAACACTGCTTGGCCCATTAGCTCTAGCCCTTACTGGCTAATTCTGATATCCCGATCAACCCATCTCTAATAAACTGTGTAGCACCGGTCTTACCGGGAAAGATTCAGCATGTCTGACCTGGCAGCTTGCTTCATCGTACATCTCAGAGAGCAGAGCTATCGTGTCTGCCCGGGAGAGGGGAGCATGGTGTCTCTGCTCCAGAGAGCAGAGCTGTCGAGTCTGAGCTCACTTCCTCTTCCTCCCAGCATTCTGTTCTGTTTACTCCACCCACCTATGTTTTAACCTATGAGGCCAAGCAGTTTCTTTATTATAATTAACCAATGACCTTCCTCCATCACTGGGACCCTCATGGCAGGCAATTCTTCCTGCAGCACAGGGTGGACCTCCTGACCCAGGTGGCCCAGGAGCATGAGCAGTACCGGGAGGATGTGAATGAGTTCCAGCTCTGGCTGAAGGCGGTGGTGGAGAAAGTACACAGCTGCCTGGGGCGAAACTGCCAGCTGACTACGGAGCTTCGTCTCTCTGCACTGCAGGTACGCTACTGTGACCCAACCAGGACAATGTCCCCACTAGGGCGTCTCGAGCCCTGGCTGAGGGAGACCCTACAAGTTGCAAATGGGGATAATATTAGTTTTCACACCAGACACAGACACCCGCAGCCCACAGCACAGACTCCTGGGAAGAGTGCTGGGGGACCCAGTACAAAACATTTGGGGTAGTGGCTGACAGATGGGACACTTGAACCCATAGGATTCCAGGAGCTGGGTCTAGACTCATGGGTCTCAGTGCAGGGTGCATGGCAAGTCAGGAGCCATTTTTATTCAGTCCCAGTCTGAGTGGGTACTGCTCCTGGCTCCCAGAAAATGGAGGCCTGGGCTTCAACTATACTACAGTAGACAGAGCAACACCACAGTGGAGAATCATCCCACTCAAATGCCAATCATGCCACAATGAAGAGCTTTGGGTGGGCAGGGTCAGGAGAAGTGGGTTCGTGTCACCTTTCACACTGCATGGCCATCAGGAAGCCTCTAGATCCTGCATCTAGTGAGTGTATGCAAGGGATTTACCCTAGACGTATGCAAAAGATGTACAGTGAAGAAACTGTTGACTTGACTCCTCTATGGTATTGTTGAGAGTGAGAACAGCCAGAGGCATCTGGCAGTGTCCACGACAGAGAGAGAAAGAAGTGGACTGGACATGGCTAGCAGACTGGACACGGCCAGGGCTGTCTGCAAGAGGGGGAGACCAGCAGGGGATGGAGTGAGATAGCATAGTGAGACAGCAGGAGCTGAGGATGGTGAGGATGCCAGACTGTAAGGGGCTGTGGTCCAGGCTGAGCTCATTGCGTGATGTTTGCACTGTCTGTTGGAGTCTGGGGAACTGCAGTTCCCTTTGGACCAGACAGCAAGTTATCTTCAGCAATTCAAGAGCCACTTCTCAGCTTTCCCTGCACTATGTGCTTGGTGTGTTAATTTATATTAAAGTCAACTGGCCTTTGAAGAAGTTGGTGAACATTGAGAAAGAAAACCTAAGAGTCAGGTGGAGGTGCACAGCCATCAGCCTGATGCTTGGGGACTTAAGGTGGGAGCATGGAAACTTGGAAGCCAGCCTGGGAAAGGTAACTATAAAGATGAGCACATGTCTATAATCAGAGCCTGTTTACTCAAAAAGGAGAGGAAAGAAAACTTGAATCACTGTTGTAAAGGGGAAAGCCAGTACCATTCACAATACAGAAACAAAAGCCTCCAGGCATGGAGCTGGGTAGTGGTGGTGCACACCTTTAATCCCAGCACTCAGGAAGCAGAGGCAGGAGGATCTCTGTGAACTCAATGCCACTCTGGTCTACAGAGTGAGTTCCGGAACAGTCAGGGCTACAATGAGAAGCCCTGTCTCGAAAAACTATAACCAAAACCAAAGCCAAAAACCAACCAACCGACCAACTAAGAAACAAACAAGAAACAGGCATGGCTATACATATCTGTAATGCCAGCACCTGGGAACTCTGAGTATCATAAATTTAAAGTTATTGTTAGGTATATATTGAGGCCAACCTGGGCTACATCAGCCACATACACATTTTCCATGTATCTATAAGACACATCGATACAGATAGGCATGCAACTGAAATCCAAATAGGTATTGGCACACACACGTACAGTGAGGCTTGGTATCCCTTGATTTCCTGTGGCCCCACGGCATATCTCGCTGATAGCTTCAAGTTGATTTTTTTTGTGGTCTTTTTTTTAGATTTATTTATTTATTATGTATACAACATTCCTTCCATGTATGCCTGCACACCAGAAGAGGGCACCAGATCTCATTATAGATGGCTGTGAGCCACCATGTGGTTGCTGGGAATTGAACTCAGGACCTCTGGAAGAGCAGGCAGTGCTCTTAACCTCTGAGCCATCTCTCCAGCCCAAGTTGATTTGTTTTAAAGACACATTAGCAAACGCCAGACAGTGTTGAAGACAGGCACACCGGACAGAGACATCCAGTACTCAGTGGCTTGGTGGAGATGGGGAACAGTTCACATCCCACAAGTCCACGTTACCTGGAGCAGTCACCCTTGGCATGATCCCCAGGTCTGCCCTGAGAGCACAGCTAACCTTTGTTTTCCTGCTGTCTCTCCATCACCCCGGACAGGATATCGCCAAGGATTTCCCTAAGGGCGAGGAGTCTTTGGACAGGTTGGAGGAGCAGGCTGAGGGTGTCATTCGGAACACCTCTCCTTTGGGTGCAGAGAAGATCTCAGGGGAGCTGGAGGAAATGCGAGGGGTCCTGGAGAAGCTGAGAGTCCTCTGGAAGGAGGAGGAAGGGAAGCTGCAAGGCCTGCTCCAGTCCAAGGGGGCCTGTGGGCAGCAGATCCTGCAGCTGGAGGCGGAGCTGGGAGAGTTCAAGAAAAGTCTTCAGAGGTTGGCCCATGAGGGCTTGGAGCCCACGGTGAAGACAGCCACAGAGGATGAGCTGGTGGCCCACTGGAGGCTGTTCTCGGTAAGTTCAGGGGTGCAGTGGGCCTCAGGTTGCCACTTGGAGTCACTCTGTGATGGAGAATCATAATCGGCTTTATGCATGCCCTCTGGTGTGAGTGTGTTATCCTTTGGCACCTGAGTGCCCTGAAAGGGTCATTTAGAAGGCAAATATTTATTTCCATGTTCCAGACCAAGAATTGGATGCCTGAAATATTTTCCCCTTGCAATCCCTAAAGGATCACAGTAAATTTGTGACTAATTAAGACCCAAGGAACACAGGACACCCAGACTTGGGCTTTGAAGTCCTTTCCTTACTCAGCACTGGGATGAGGGATGGATGTTCTGGCTAGGGAGCAGCGAGATTAGCAGTGGAGGGGAGCTCACAGTGGAGAGATGATGAGAGGAAAACACAGGGCAGGGTCTGGGAAGATCGAGGAAGGACACTCATTTCGGGAAGGCAGTGTGGACTCCTACCCACTCAGGAAGTCTTAGTCACCTCCATGTTACTGTAACAAAACAGCAGAGGCAACCGACTTATGAGGAACAAAGGTTTGTCATGGCACATGTTCTGGAGGTGCCATTTGAGATCCATTGGTTGCCTTTCTTTGGACCTCTGGTGGCGACAGCGAGTCATGGTGAGAGTCTATGGCAGAGTAAACCGTCACCTCTTAAGCCAGAAAGCAGGGCCAGCCAGCTGATAAGCAGGCCCTATGGATCCCTTCAGTGGCACAGCTCCAAAGACCTAAGGACCATCCCCTACCCCCCAAAAGCTCACAGCACTGCTGCCAGCACCATTCAAACCACAGGAAGTGTGACTTGCAGACAGGTTTTAGCTAAAGATCCCCAGCCCTTACTCTATATTGTTCATATCGTGATGCATTTGAAGGACCTGTCCAAAGCCAGTGCTGAGGCTCAGCAGTAGAACTTACCTAGCTTGACTGAGACTCCAGGTTCCTTCCCTAGCCCCTCAAGTGGGTGGGCGTCAAAGGAACTATCTTAAAAAGATAAAAGTCACTCTGATCTCTCTCCTGCCCTACCACAGCACTAAGGTGCTAAGGTGTCCTCGTCCACCTTTATGCATTTGGGAGCTTTTTCACCCAGCCTCCCTACAAGACAGATCACACTGATCTTTCTACACAGGGGACCACACATCCTCAAAGGTCACTGCTTCATTCTGAGTTGCGGCGTGCTACAGTGGTTGAGAATGGAGATTGTGGGACCAGACTGTCCTGGTTCAGGCGGATTCCTCTCCTTTCTCCAATGGTCTACATTCTCTAAATCCCTCTTGTTGGAGCTTTGTTCTTCATCGTCATTCTTTTTGTTAGTGCCAAGTTTGAACTGCAGTTTAAGATATCCCAGAACCAGTGTGGTCAGATATACATTGAGGTCTTTAATCCATTTAGACTTGAGTTTTGTGCATGGGGATAGATATGGATCTATTTGCATTCTTCTACATGTTAACATCCAGTTATGCCAGAACCATTTTGTTGAAGATGTTTTTTTTTTTCCCCACTGTATAATTTTAGCTTCTTTGTCAAAAATCAGGTGTTCATAGGTGTGTGGATTAATATCCGGGTCTTTGATTCAATTCATTGGTCAATCTGCCTGTTTTTTATGCCAATACCAAGCTGTTTTCATTACTATAGCTCTGTAATAAAGCTTGATGTCAGGGATGGTGATGCCTTCAGAAGTTCCTTTATTGTACAGGATTGTTTTGGCTATCCTTGGTTTTTTGTTTTTCTATATGAAATTGAGTATTGTTCTTTCAAGGTCTGTGAAGAATTGTGTTGGGATTTTGATGAGGATTGCATTGAATCTATTGATTGCTTTTGGTAGGATTGCCATTTTTATTGTGTTTATCCTACCTATCTAAGAGCCTGGGAGATCTTTCCATTTTCTGGTATCTTCTTCAATTTCTTTCTTCAAAGACTTAAAGTTCTTGGAACCCATTCTCTTTGGATGGATATCTTGCTCACCCTGGATATATTGGGGAGAGCCTTGTTCCTTCCTAGGAACAATGTGCCTTGATCTCTCTGGGGAGTTGATGGGGTTGGGGGAGGGAAGGTGGAGAAAATGGAAGGAGGGGAGGGAGTGGGAAAAAATTTTTTTAATTAAAAAAAATTCCCAGAACCAATGGGAAAGCCTGTATCCAATGGGAACAGCTAGAGTAGAATGAAGCTGGCATTTGTCACAGTGTCACTGTGAGGAAGATGACGTCATGCGTAACCGGGCTGCTACAGGGAAGTGAGCAGGGGCTGAGCCTAAGGGTGAGATTCCCCCAGTCCATGTCCTTGGTGACCAGCTCCTCCAGTCTGGCCAGTCCCTGGCCTCCATTCAGCCTCTGCACACACACTGTCATTCCCCAAGGGGCCTCACCAGTGCCTGGTTGTCATGTCTTGCAGGGGACCCAGGCTTCACTGGCTTCAGAGGAGCCCCGTGTAGACCGACTACAAACTCAGCTAAAGGAGCTTGTCGCCTTCCCCGACCTACAGTTGCTCTCTGACAGTGTGGTGGCTGCCATTCAGGAATATCAAAGGTACCCAGGGAGGCAGAGGGCAGGCAGGACTGAGGGTGGGCGGAGCTAAGGGTGCTGGATAATTGGCACTGTGTGTGTGTGTGTGTGTGTGTGTGTGTGTGTGTGTAAGATGGGCTATCTGGGGATGTCCAGTCTTCACTCTGCAGAGAATCTGCCCTCTCCTCATTCTTGCATTTGACTCCCAGCAAGAGGCATGAGCTTTGCTTTTCATGGCTGGGGGAAGAGGGGGGTCAAAGGCCCACCTCTGCTGGGTCTTAAGTGGCTGATTGTTGGGAGGATTTCGCCATGTGGGGTCATAGGAAGAGCTGCTATGTAAGTGAACACCACTCCTCTGCCTCTGACCATGCTGAGACTTAAGTATCAGAGCATATCTTCAACACTGCCTCTACTTACCTCTCTGCCTGTGGGAACAGTCAGGCTCAGCAAAGAGCAGGGCCATGGCCTCCCACTGCAGAAGAGAGCATTGCACATTGTGATGCTCACCTATTTTTGTCCAGAAGGCATCCTAAAAATAGCTCAGCCATCCCAATAGCACCCCATAGTACATCTTATACCCCTGCCTGGTTATGGGGGATTCCTTCAGTTGGACAGAGGAACTTCATCTGCTGTGTCTCTCTCCCACAGCTGTTCCTAGGTCTCACATCTGTAAAATTGGGGTAGTGCTGGATGCTGAAGCAGAGCTAGGTCAGGAATCATGAATGTTCCCGGGAGCAGTGTGAAGGGCTTTGGGATCATGAATGTTCCTGGGAGCAACGTGAAGGGCGTTGGGATCATGAATGTTCCCGGGAGCAGTGTGAAGGGTGTTAAAATCATGAATGTTCCTGGGAGGAGTGTGAAGGGTGTTGGAATCATGGATGTTCCCGGGAGCAGTGTGAAGGGCGCTGGAATCATGAATGTTCCTGGAAGCAGTGTGAAGGGTGTTGGAATCATGAATGTTCCTGGAGCAGTGTGAAGGGCACTGTGTTGCTAATTCTTCAGAGGAATTGACAGCTAAGGCACACAAGCCACAACTGCTAGGCCTTACTCTAGACTCCCAGATTTTCAGATACTACAGAACCAGAGGATACTCACATATCACATTTCCTTGAGCACTTACAGGCCTGAGGGAGCTAAGGGTCTGTGCTCAGGAAGACTCTAGGCCCATGGTCACTGCCGTTCTGTCTCAGCGGTTATCACTTCTCCTCTGTGGCCTATGTGTGTGTCCATACACACTCGGTGCAGCCCATGTGTAAGGAGGGCATTCCCTGCCCTGGAAGCCTGGGCAGAGGCCTTACCCTGAGCTGATCTCACTCTCTTCTCGCTGGATCTGTGCCCTGTGCTTTCCTGGCAGTATGAAGGGAAAGAATGCCAGGCTCCACCATGCGACCAGGGCAGAGCTGTGGCAGCGGTTCCAGAGGCCCCTCAGTGACCTGCAGCTGTGGAAGGCCCTGGCCCAGAGGCTCCTGGACATCACCACCAGCCTGCCGGACCTGCCCTCCATCCACACCTTTCTACCCCAGATTGAGGTAACCAGTGTGGGGCTGGGGAGGCTGCTGGCCTAAGGGGTGGCATCTCAGCTACTCTCCCGAGGGCAAGTGCACACCGGGGTTCTTGAGACACCTGAGTCCCACTCACTGCTCTGTGTCAGCCAAGTGCCAAGTGTACAGGAAGGGCGATCACTTGTTCTCAGGGACAGAAGTCATCCTTAGTCCTCAGGTAGAGCCAAAGCCTGGTGTGACTTTTCATGGATCTTCTCGAAACCACAATTTTGTCTCCCTTGGGGACTCCACCATAGGCAGAGTATTAATGGCTCTGCCAGCGTCATTGCCTTCACTGTGTCTTCAGTGATAGCCTGACCAGTGGAAACTTTAAATACAGATGTGATCAGGCCAATTCAATGGCTCAATGTCATCTGGAACACAGGCTCTGCTAGCTCCAAGGCATATCCCTTTCTGGCCTCCGCTTAGCTGCCAAGGAGCAAGTGGCATTCGTTACTGATGGGAACTGCACAGGAGCCCAAGGAGTCCCTCCATCCATCATCACTTTCACTGCCAACAAGGAAGTCACGCCTTCCTGGGAATCTTTCATTTCATTGGTTGGTCAGGTCACATGACCATCCTTTACCCCAGTGTCTGGTTGAAGATGGTGAAATTGTCATGATTGGCTGTACCAGTAACACTAACAATTCTGCGCCTTCAGTTGAGCACAAAACAAACGTTGGCTGTTTGGAGAGAAATAGTTACAGGGAGAGCATTTGGCAGCTTCCGCCAGGGTCCTTCAACACTGGGGCTTTGATTGGCTCATAAACCCTGCTTTGTGAGACCACTGAGCTCAGTCCATGAGATGCTCCTGTGTCCAGGGATTCTCAGACACACAGAGCCGACAGAGGCGTGAAAAGGTGCCAGGTGCCAGGTGCCAGCCGCATTGTATATGTTTTTATTCTGCTTATAAAAACATACCTACGTTCCCGAGAAAAATGTGAAGATTGCTGGGGAAAGTACCCATCATCCCACAAGACACAGGACATCATCAACACATCAGAACAGTTCCCCCTCACCATTCTAGCCTTCCGGGTGTTGCTGGGAGAGTCTTTACTCAGGGTTGACCCTGCTTCCCCTGGAGAACACTGCTCAGCCTGCAGTTTGGGGCATGCACATGTGTGAACCCCAGGTCCATGTTGGGAATCACTTGATTGACCTTTCACCTTACTCGCTGAACCCGGAGCTCACTGGTGTGGTTAGCCTTGCTAGCTAGCTTGCTTTAAAAATCCGCTACCACCTCTGCCGTCAGAAGCTGAAATTACAGCTGGGCCACCACTCCCATCCAGCATTTGTTTGGGTTTTTCGGGATTCAAACTCGGGTCCTCAGGCTTGTTAAGTAAGTGCCTCAATGTTGAGCCATCTCACCAACTTCAATCTCTCCCTAATTATTTATTTTATTTAGTTTTTGAGACTGGGTCTCCCTTTGTATGCCTGTCTAGCCTAGAGCTTACTGTGTAGATCAGGCTGGCCATTAACTCAGAGCTCCACTTGCTCTGCCCTCCAGATGCTAAGATTAAAGAAGTGTGCCACCAAGCCCAGCTCCATGATTACTGAGAGCAGGACATGATCCTACCTCCCAAGGGCCCAACAGGTCCTTTCTCCCATGTGTAGGCACTGAAGGATGCTGGTCATCTTTTTTTTTTTTTAAGTTGAAAATAGATTTGATTATGTGTATGCCCTTGTGCGGGTATGTGCTGTGAGCACAGGTTCCCTAGGAGGCCAGGGCAACACGTCCACCTGAATCTGGAGTTAAGGTGGGTGCTGGGAATTGAACCCAGGTCCTCTGCAATTGTTGTATACTTTCTCAACCACTGTGCTATCTCTGAGGCTCTGGTGGTCATCTTTCTAAATTTTTTATTTTATTTGTGTGTGTGTGTGTGTATGTGTGTGTGTGTTTTGCCTGTGTGTGTGCCTATGCACCACTGTGTGCCTGGTATCCACAGAGGCCAGAAGAGGGCATCAGATATCCCTGAAGGAGAATTACAGGCACTTGTCAGATGTTATGTAGGTGCTGGGAATCAAACCCAGGTCCTCTGGAAGGGTGGCTGAGCCTTGTCTCCAACCTCTGATGGTCACCTTTTTTAGGTGTTCCTCATGAGTATTTATGAAGTGATCTCAAATGAAATTTGTGTGGACTACAAAGTTTAAGGTCAGAATGTCCCAAACCTGTCCTTTTATTTGATAAAATCCATTCATACTATTCCATGTGATAGAAATTCTAATTAATTTGTAATTTTTGTGCATTTAGGATCATGTCATGTAGCTGTGGACTGTGATGCTATGGTTCATGTTTGTAATCCCAGCCCTTTAGAGACAGAGGCAGGAGGATCACTGTGAGTTCAAGACCAGCCTAAGCTATGTAGTAATCTGCAGGCCAGCCTGGGCTATGGAGTAAAACCTTGTCTTAAAAAAAAAAAAAGTCTAGGGCTGGAGAGATTGGCTCAGAGGTTAAGAGCACTGACTGCTCTTTCAGAGCTGGTGGTGGTGATGGGGGGGGGGACAGGGTGTCATAGCTGGTGGTGGTGATGGGGGGGCAGGGTGTCATAGCAGGTGGTGGTCATGATGCAGGGACAGGGTGTCATAGCAGGTGGTGGTGATGATGGAGGGGACAGGGTGCCATAGCTGGTGGTGGTGATGGGGGGACAGCGTGTCATAGCAGGTGGTGGTCATGATGCAGGGACAGGGTGTCATAGCTGGTGGTGGTCATGATGCAGGGACAGGGTGTCATAGCTGGTGGTGGTGATGATGGGGGGGGACAGGGTTTCCCAGACAGGAAAGGTGATGAATTGCTACGTGGCCTTTGGTAATGAGATGGGTGAGGCTTGGTAGAAGACAGCCAACATGGATCCTGAAATTCAGAGCCTCCCAGTGTATTTCTATCAGTCTGTTTCTACTGTGCTGCTTCTTCCAACGCCCGCAGACACATGGCTCCATTGCAGGAATGGTAGGAAACGGTGTGAGCTTGGGCCTACCTGGCTGTCTGACGGGCACGGTCCCTTGTCTCCCACAGGCGGCCCTAGCAGAAAGCTCCCGCCTGAAAGAGCAACTGGCGATGCTGCAACTGAAGACGGACTTGCTCGGTAGCATCTTTGGCCAGGACAGAGCAGCCGCTCTCCTGGAGCAGGTGGTGAGTTCTGTGAGGGACCGAGACTTACTGCATAACAGCCTTCTGCAGAGGAAGAGCAAACTGCAGGTGAGCATCAGAGCTCCGCCCTGGAATGTGGCCATGGGGCGGGCACAGCCCTTCTTGGTACCCTGATTTCAGCCTCATCCCCCTTCCCCGTGGCTCTGGATAGATGCCTTTGTTAACCCACAGTTTTGGGTTCTGTGTTCATAGTCAGGGCAAGACTTTCACGTGACCCCTCTAACTGGCTCCCTAGTCACCTGTCTGCTGCTGGTCACTCATAACCCTACATTTCAATCAGGCCACCCCATCTTCTGCAGAGCGGATGGGCAAGCAAAGATGGGGTGGGTGAGTTGGCTCAGCTAGTGGAGGTGTTTGCTGCTCAGCCTCCACTCGATTTCAATTCCCAGGGTCCAGATGGTAGGAGAAGAAACTAACTCCTACAGCTGTCATCTGACTTCCTCATGTTTATATGTGTGCAACGCGTGCATGCACACACATACGTAAATAAACTAAATGTAATAGAAAATGCAGATACACTCTACTGCACAGGCCTCTCCAGTGAACAGGGTCTGCTCACAACTGCGAACGTCTCGGCTCCTGCGAGATTGTGAATGGACAGCAATAAACCACACAGCTCAGCAGTCACCATTTGTCCTTCAGGGTTTTTTTGTATTTTTTTTCCTTTTTTTAGCCATTAAAAACAGTTATGAAATGTGGCATCCCGTTGATGCAAGAACCGGGAAAGCCATTTTCCCCAAACTCACTGTAAACAACAGTAACTTTGGTTAAAATAAAAAAGTCTGTACTGTACACCTGATACTGTAAACATACTGTAATAATAATGTCTCACATGGGAATGAGAGAAGACGCTGGGTCAGCAGCAAGCTGTAGTTTTTAAAAAAATGTTTTTAGTTAAATGTTGAGGAGAAAAAAAAAGGCTTTTCCCCCAAAGTATCATGTGTGAACCTACAACACCCTGACCTCTTTCTCTCCTCCTTGATTGTATGAATAACCCTGAGATCACCTCTTAGAACTGGTTTTAACCTTTAGCTGCAGCGGCTGCGCTGCCACGTGTGTATATATATGATGTTGTACATTGCACATACCCTTGAATCGCCACAGTTTGGTCCCCTTCCCAGCCACCCCTTTATAGTATGACGAGTTAACAAGTTGGTGACTTGCACAAAGCGAGACACAGCTATTTAATCTCTTGCCAGACATCGCCCCCCTTGGTGCGATGCTGTACAGGTCTCTGTAAAAAGTCCTTGCTGTCTCGGCAGCCAATCAACTTATAGTTTATTTTTTCTGGGTTTTTGTTTTGTTTTGTTTCCTTTCTAATCGAGGTGTGAAAAAGTTCTAGGTTCAGTTGAAGTTCCTGATGAAGAAACACATTGAGATTTTTTCAGTGATAAAATCTGCATATTTGTATTTCAACAATGTAGCTAAAATCTTGATGTAAATTCCTTTTTTTCCTTTTTTGGCTTAATGAATATCATTTATTCAGTATGAAATCTTTATACTATATGTTCCACGTGTTAAGAATAAATGTACATTAAATCTTAAAAAAAAAAAAAAAAGAAAATGCAGATACAAGGGCCCGCTAACTTTAGCCCTCCATGATCCCAGGAGTGAATGTAGGTGGAGTTTTTCATCAGGACTGCTGGCCAGATCCCAAATAACCACCCAGACTTAGTATTAATTATAAACGCTCAGCCGATAGCTTAGGCTTATTGCTAACTAGCTCTTGCAACTTGAATTAACCCATATGTCTAAGCTCTGCCACATAGCGGTACCTTTTATCAGCATGACATGGCCATCTTGCTTCTCTCCTTGTCTCCTGGCAGTTCCTCCCTCTTCTCCCCAGGCTCTCTTTTTTACCACATGTCCTGTCGAACCTTTTTCTTCCTAGCTATTGGCCAGTGAGTTTTTTATTAACCAATGAGGGTAATACATATTTACAGTGTACTAAAAGATTATTCCACAGCTAGTGAATTCTATTAATGGCATGCTTCTAACTGCAATAAGTCAAAGCAATGGCTTGGCACTCTGCAGACAGCCAGTTCTAGCTGCCAAATATTTGACAAGTGACCAGTAATGATGATAATAATAGCTACGGTCTTCAGGTGTTGGCTCTGGGCCAGGCACCTGCTACTCTTTGTCCAGCTGACACTGTGGGGGAGGTGCTGCCAGCTTCCCTGTTTTACAGGTGAGGAGAATGTCAGGTATCTTATGATGGCAAGGTCAGGGTTCAGGCTGCATCACCTGACTCCAAGCCAGCAATTCTCACTTCAGCAGGATGAGGCAAGGTTGCGGAACCAGAAAGGAAGTGAGGTCACCATTGCGGGGGCTGGTAGAGACAAGTACGCAAGGGTAGTTAGTTACAGAGTGGTCTCAGCAAAGTTCTAGATCAGCAGCTCGCAACCTTCCCAGTGCTGCGACCCTTTAATGTGGTTCCTCATCTTGTGGTGACCCCCAACCAAAAGAAAATATTTTTGTTGCTACTTCATAACTGTAATTTTACTATTACTATGCATTATAATATAAACATTTGAGTTTTCTAGTCATCTTAGGTGAACCCTGTGAAAGGTTTATTTGACCCCAAAGGGGTCTCGATCCAAAGGTTGAGAACCTCTGGTCTACAGGCTGTGGCTGCTACTACTGCTGCTGCTGCAAGCGCCCAGGCAGTGAAAATGCCAGTGTTTGTCAGGCAGTTGGCCCAGCTCCGCCTCTATATCAGAGAATCAAAAGGAAATGTGTAGGCGGGACCGCGGTCTAATAAAACCTTATTTACAAACAAGCTTCCGGTGAGACTTGGAATATGGGGGAGGGCTGTTCTCGAGGACCATGGCTAAAGTGTGGTAAGAGAACACTAGAGTGTTCCATCAGGGAGTGCTTCCTGGAGAAGGTGGATCAGGAGCCAGTACTGAGAGAGCAGCATTTGTCAGCTCTTCCCAGGGGCTGTGAGGAAAATGCTTCATTTGTGTTTGCAGAGCCTGCTCGTCCAGCACAAGGACTTCGGGGTGGCTTTTGACCCCCTACACAGGAAGCTTCTAGACCTCCAAGCCAGGATCCAAGCAGAGAAAGGGCTTCAGCGGGACCTTCCTGGAAAGCAGGTCCAGCTGCTAAGGTTGCAGGTGAGTGGCTCTGTCACCTGGCGCACTGTTGACTGCGCGGGAGCTCCCCCTGCTGGCAGCAAGCTGCAAAGCAGTGCCCAGCCTAACCCCAGATCTGATTCGCCAGTCTCAGTAGAATTTGCTTATTCAGCTGGTAGTTCCTGGGCTCAGCGGGGCTGTTAGCCCCGCAAAGCCGCTAGGTCTGGAGCCTAACGGGGCGACAAGCAATTTTTTTGTTTGTGCGTGGGTTCCGAAGTTTGAACAAGGTGCTCAGTCCTGCTCTCCTTTTACTCCGTTTGGGACTCCAGCCTATGGGGTGGCGCCGTCCACATTCAGTTTGGGTTTTCCCTCTTCCGTTAATCCCCATAGACACACCTAGAGGTGTCCTAGGTGATCCAAATCCAGTCAAGTTGACAATGAGAACTAACTGTTGTATGAACTATTTTTGGTGAGCCCTGAGACTTTCAGTTGGATAAACCAATTTTGCGATTAGGAAGCGATGTTTTATATCATGTGTGGACTGCATGCAGGCGGGTCATTGGTAATCACTGGCTGGCTGGAGAGCTTTACTGGTTTTTATCATGCACATGACACAATGTTTATTGTTTCAAACCCAAACACGGTTCCTGTATAAGCTGACAGCATTCTCTGGAAAACATTAAGCGTGGCACATTTGAGGCTTTAACACTGAAGTGGTTATAATTCTTCCTAACAGCCAGTGATCACCAAGTGAGAGTCCAGACGTGAGTTTCTTTCCCAAGATGCTGTCTGGTCTTCCTGTAGTTTATTTTAATAGTGCCCTGGAATATTTGTGTCTGAATTTTAAAGATTCATTTGCCCTGAAAAGGAATCTATTGGACCACCCAAGTGCTGCAGCCACTGATAGAGGGAGCTTGCTATTCTGGGAGCCCCAACTAGGGGCTCTTGTACTTAGAGCCCCCACCCCACTGGGTCTCCAGGATAGAGGGTCTTCTGGGTGGAGGGTCTTCTGGATGGAGGGTCTCCAGGAGAGATGGTCTTCTGGGTGGAGGGTCTTCTGGATGGAGGGGTTTCTGGGTAGAGGGTCTACTAGGTAGAGGGTCTTCTGGGATGGGAATCTTCTGGGTAGAGGGTTTTCTGGGATGGGTCTTCTGGGTGGAGGGTCTTCTGGGTAGAGGGACTTTTGGGATGGGGGTCTTCTGGGTAGAGGGCCTTCTGGGATGGGGTCTTCTGGATGGAGGGGTTTCTGGGTAGAGGGTCTTCTGGGTGGAGGGTCTTCTGGGATGGGGGTCTTCTGGGTGGAGGGTCTTCTGGATGGGGTCTTCTGGGTAGAGGGTCTTCTGGATGAAGGAGTTTCTGGGTAGAGGGTCTTCTGGGATGGGGGTCTTCTGGGTAGAGGGTCTTCTGGGATGGGGTCTTGGGTGGAGGGTCTTCTGGGTAGAGGGTCAGGTGGCTAACCTCACTTGCTCTTCTCCATCACAGGGGCTGCAGGAAGAAGGCCTTGATCTGGGGACACAGATAGAGGCTGTGAGGCCTCTTGCCCAGGGGAACTCTAACCACCAGCACAAAGTGGACCAGATTTCCTCTGACCAGCAAGCCCTGAAGAGGTCCTTGGAGGTAAGGGACCAGGGAAGGGCCTGAGAAGTGAGGGCCAGGTTTTAGAATCCTATATTCCTGGGTTTTTTCTCCTTCCATTCTCCATTCCTTTCAGTCTTTCTTTCTCCTCGTCTTCATTTGTGTAATTTCTGATTGTTGAGCGATTTCTGTATGCCGGCTGCTGTTCTGGGCTCTAGTGGGGGAGACAGTGCACACTGACAGACAGGGCCTTGCTTTCCTGAGGATTGGGAGGAAGGACAGTGAATCAGCAAGTGAGCGACGCCAGGGTTTCAGGTTGTGATGGGGGCCACAGGAGAGAACTCACAGGCTGGCTTGTCCCATCTACCTGTGTGGGTACACAGTTGTTTGTGTCCCCCTAGCCCTGGTGGCCTCAGAGCCTTGTTTGCAGCGCCCTCTAGTGGCCCCCCCAGCACTTTCTGGTGCCCAGGATTGGTTCTACTTCCTCCAGTCGGATGTTCAGAATCCCAGCCGTCTACACAAATGATGGAGACAAGCAGAGATGCAGGCTCCAGGCTCCCGACACACCCTGATTCAGACAGACTTGACTCTGCTTTTTAAATTAAATCATCACGGAGTTCAAGCTGATCCCTGGCCACACCTCAAAAAACCTAGTGCTAAGGCTAACTTCTTCCGGCCCACCTGGCCCTGTATGCCCTGTTTCCATAGCAAACACCTTCTCTGCCATCCTGATGATAACAGGTGGACACAGTACTCTCACAGACCATATGGAAAGAAACTCTTAAAGAGACATTGTAATCAAGTCGCGTGTAAGTGGTTACAGCTAGCTAAGCTCTGGCTACAAGGAGAGGTCAGGAAATATTCCTTTCATGCCACAACCACTAACGCCATGCCAGGCAGCACGCCCAGCATTGCCTCTAAGGAGTGAGATTAAAATCTTGACTAAACCAAAGCGCAGTTTTGTGTATAGGATGGGTGTGTGCCCAGACAAGCCAGTGGCCTCTTTAGAACTTCAAAGACTCCCTTGCACCTGTGTGTGGCGTTAGACCCTGTCTTGGTTAGGGTTCTTACTGCTGTGAGGAGGCACGTGACCACAGCAACTCTTTTTTATTGTTCTTATTGATCTATATATTTCCCCACTCCCTTTCCTTCCTCCCTTCTCCGCTTCCACCCTTCCCCTGCCCCCCACACTCCCAATTCTCTGGAGCTGACCGTAGCAACTCTTAGAAAGGAAAACATATAATTGGGCTTGGCTATAGTTCAAAGATTTAGTCCATTATCATGGTGGGATGTGGCAGCGTGCAGGCAGACATGGTGCTCGAAAAGGAGCTGAATGATCTTCAGGCTGCAGGAAATGAACTAGATCTACACTGAGTGTAGCTTGAGCATCGGAGACCTCAAAGCCTGTCTCCACAGTGACACACTTCCCTCAACAAGGCTATACCCACTTTAGCAAAGCCAGACCTTCTAATAGTGCCACTCCCTTTGAGCTTATTGGGGCCAATTACATCCAGACTACCATAGAGCCCTATCCCAGGCCATGGCAAATAGGCTTTTAGTCCCCGTGGAGATGGACAGGCATGAGAGGATTTTGTGGGACATGGGGCAGGGATGTCTCCCTCCCTCCACAGAGTGGGAGCCCCTTACATGGAAACATGATGATTACTATACACTGAGGCCTGAAGGAGCCCTGTTGGCCTAAGCGACCTTGGGTCTGGATGAATTCGCTAATTCTGCTCAGTAAACTTGCTTCTATCGTCTCGGGTAAGGGAAGGGCATAGAGAGACAGATAGGACACTGTTCTCACCTTCTAGAAGTCCCTAGAAACTGCAAATATCAACTCCAAAAGCTATATCCAAATAATGAGCAGGCCAATCATTAGAGGACACATTTGCTGGTGTCATTCGATGTCGCAAGAGGGTGACATCCCATCATGCTTCTGTAAAGAGGAACTGTCCCCCTTATCCAGACATTCAGTGCTTGTTAATTCGAGTGAGTTTAAGCTCATCTTTACCTCACAGTCAGGCGACCTTCATGTCCTGCCATCCCTGTGACAAAATCATCTGACAAAGATGACATTAACAAGGTTTGTTTCGGCTCACAGTTCCAGGGTGGAGTCCATCATGGTTCAGGGATCCGTGGTGGCGGGAGCTTGACGCAGTCACCCTCACTGTGTCTTCAGTCAGGAAGCAGAGAAAGATAGACCCTGGAGCCCTGTGTAGACCAAGCTGGCCTTGAACTCACAGAGATCCAACTATTCCTTTTTTTTCCCATGTAGTCCTGGGCCCTGGCCCATGGAGTGGTGCAGCTCATCTTTATGGAATGTCTCACCTCAGTTCATCGTTCCTAGACAATCCTTCAAAGACTGTTTCCGTGCTGATTCTAGTTCGGGTCAAGCTGGCAAGCAGGATTGACAATCACATCCACAGGGAGCATGCTCCTGTGTCAGAGGCCACAGGCCCCTATGGCAGGATGTCATTGGGATGGTTAGCTAGTATTGGTACCCAGGTCCTGGCACTGCAGATGCAGATGAATAGGGCCTAGCAAATGTTTGAGGCTATCTTTGATGGGTTGTTGAAGGCAGGTTCAATGTGTAGAATTCTGAGCCCCAGATTGGACTTAGAGCCCCTTGGCAGGGGCCTGGCATCCATATCTTTGCAAGTGATTGTTTTTTTTTTTTTTTTTGAGATACAGGGAGATAGGGGGTCTTTAGAAGTCCAGCGCAGAGGCATGAGGCCATATAGTGGGAACAGTGGCAGCAGGCTGGAGTCTGAATGGCTCATGGTGGGCTGGAAAAAGGGGGCTCATAGAGTCCCAGACAAGGGGACCAGAAGAATGGAGAATGGCCACCCTTTTGAGGACAGTGCCCAGCTTTCTTGGAGACAAGGAAGAGAAAGGCTTATCATGATTCAGGCTTCTGAGAAACTGACAGGCCCCAGGAAACAGGATCTAGGAATGGAGCCAAAAAAAAAAAAAAGAAGAGAAAAGAAAGTAAGGTAGCCTTGAAAGCCTTTATATAGAACATAATCATATACAGAAAAGGAAGTATGTTGGCATGGCTCAACGAATCTTAAAGAACAAACAGATCCATGTAAGCACCCCCAGACAAAACCTAGGGTGACACCAGCCTGCCTTATGCCCCACCCCTTTGTTCTGTCCATCACTTACCCTGGAAGACAGCCCTAACCTTAGAGCTCTTTGCTCCAGCCCTCCACACAAGATTTACAGATTCCTCCACAATGCTGCGGGGGGTGGGGAGGGTCACAGCCTGCCCATTCTTTTTAAAGACTGTATTAAGTTATTCTCTGGCAATCTCATACATGCAAATCATGAATCTTCATCATATCCCCTCCTCCCAAACCACCCCAGCATGTCTCCACCCCACCTTCTTGCCCTTTCCCTATTTAAAAGTTGTTATCCACTGAATAGTTAGTGCTGCCCACACAGGGCTAGGTGTGGGGCCACCCACTGCCTACAAGAAGCTGCACCCCAAAGATGAAATGACTCCTCATCCCCCGTCAGCCTTCAACTGCCAACAGCTAGGGGTGCGGCCTCGCGAGCCCCTTTCTACCAAGCTGTAATGCTAACTGGCCTGGTTTTGTAGCTACAGCTACTGTGAGCTCATGAGTTTACCCGCTGTCTCACGTCAAAGCAGCCTTCCCATCTCTGGCCCTTACATCCTGTCTACTCCATCTTCTGGAATGGTCCTTGATCCTTGTGGGGGGTGTGTAGGCAGGTCTAGGTACCTAGGAGAATTGGGGTGTCGTTTGCACTCTGCCTCAAGCAGCATTCAGACTTCCTGGCCCTCCTGGCTGTACTGCAGGACCTCGTGGACGGCTGTCAGCAGAGCGTCCGGGAGCACTGCACCTTCAGCCACCGGCTGTTGGAGCTGCAGCAGTGGGTCACCATGGTCACACAGACACTGGAGTCACACCAGGGGGACGTGCGTCCATGGGATGCTGAGTCCCAAGAGGCTGGACTTGAGGTAAGGTGCTGGTTCATCCTTTCACCTGCAATCCCCTAAAGCCTTCTGGATGCCCTTCATACTGGGATGCACAGACTCCCCCAAACTAGTACCTCACATGCATGTGGATCCATCCATGTGTCTCACAGAGGCTGCTGGCTGAAATTCCAGAGAAAGAGGTCCAGCTGTCCCTGCTCCAAGCCCTGGGCCAGCTTGTGATGAAGAAGTCCTCCCCAGATGGGGCGGCCGTGGTCCAGGAGGATCTGAGGAAGCTGATGGAGTCCTGGCAGGCCCTGCGGCTATTGGAGGAGAATCTGCTGAGGTAAGGGCCTTCCTTGCTCCCCACTTTGTCTCAGACAATGACGCCTCATCACCTAGGGTCCCGAGAGCATATGACTGGGGGATGTGTGCCAGGCATGGTGCTGGGAACCTGGGGATATCCACATCTTTTGTCCAGTTAGTAGTTCTGGTAGGGTTCTGAGGACTGGAGAGCATCCCTCATTAGGGAGTTAGCCTCCAGTCTGTTCTTGCCTGAGCTTACTTCTTTATCTGCATCCATAGGTATATGTACCTAGCTCATATGGTAAGATGAATTTAAAGTAAGAAATAGCACAAACATGTCTGGGAATCTTCTGACTGTCCCCAAAAGTGTCTGCTAAGTTCTTAAGAGTAGTAGTGAATCCCCGAAGTTTCCTTGGTGCCCCGGGTACTATTGCTTCTCCTGGGACCTGATAGATTCTAATCAGACAGCTGCCTTGAGTAAGTGCGTTTGCCTTTCCAGTCTCCTCAGAAACGAGCAGCTGCAGAGAACAGAGGTGGACACGGGGAAGAAACCAATCTTCACCAACAATATTCCAAAGGCTGGCTTTCTCATCAACCCCCAGGACCCCATTCCCAGGCAGCGGCAGCGGCATCGGGTGAGTCTATCTCACAGGCTTTGGGAGATGTCAGTTGAGGAGGTCGGGGCCTCTAGCACAGCTCAACTCACAGGATGTATCTACTTTCTTGTTACTTGCCCCTGATGTGACCTCAGAAGCAACCAATTGCTAGAGAACTGAGGGTCTTGGGGGGTCTAAGATTTCAGAGGTCCTACAGGATCACTCCAGAAGGTCAGGAACACACCTGGACAAGACTGACCCTCGCTTATCTGATCCCCTGCAGTAGCCAGTGTTGGGAGAAAACTGGGTTAAAAACCTTCTGCTGACCCCAGATAGCAAACAGATTGGAGATTCAGGTCTTGATCCAGGAGCCTGATTCTGCATGGCTAACAAGCTACAGCGTATGGTCTGTGCTGTTGAGATATGGACCACAACTTGAGAAACAAAGGAGCGGGGTCCATGCACTTAAGCAGACTTTTTTATTTTTTTAAAAAGATTTATTTATTTATTTATTTAGTATGTATACAGTGTTCTGCCTGCATGTATGCCTGCAGGCCAGAAGAGGGCACCAGATCTCATTACAGATGGTTGTGAGCCACCATGTGGTTGCTGGGAATTGAACTCAGGACCTCTGGAAGAACAGACAGTGCTCTTAACCACTGAGCCATCTCTCCAGCCTTAAGCAGGATTTTAAAAGGTGTGGCATGTGCTGGCATCTAGGCTAGATGCTATACCCAGTTCTGGGGTGAAGAAGCCCTTCTAAGAATGTTGAAATATCAGCTGAACCCTCAAGACTGAACGGGAGAGGGAGGGAGAGGCATTGTCTTAAATACTTTTCTATTGCCATGACAAAACACTATGATCAAGCAAACATTTACCACTTACAGTTCCAGAGGGTTAGAGTTCAGGACCATCATGGCAGGGAGCATGGCCACAGCAAGCAGGCATGATGCTGGAGCAATAGCTGAGAGCTAACATCTTCATCCATAGGACAAGGTAGAAAGAGCTCACAGGGCATGGCCTGGTTCTTTTGAAACCTCAAAGCGCCCCCTCCAGTGATACACTTTCTCCAACTACGGCATACTACCAATTCTTCCCAAACAGTCTACCAACTGGGAGCCAAGCATTCAAATATATGAGGCTCTAGGGACCATTACCATTCAAACCACAGCAGGCACTTTCTCAGGAGAGGGGGTAATATATACAGAGACCCAGAGGGAGGGTGAGTTCAAGATGCTGAGATACAGCTGCAGCCTGCACCAGCGGGGAGGAGGGGAGAAGGAAGGAGGCAGCTCAACCTGCAGGAGCCTGTAGAACTGGAGCCCAGGGCCCTCCGGCCACATCAGGGAAGAGTGAGGCACCACCGAGGGGTAGGGAAAGGACTTGGCTAGACTGGCTTTCATTTCGCTCTGTCCACATGTCCATAAGAATGGAGGAAAGATGACCACTTCCAGGATGGGTAGGCATCCTGGTCAAGGATGATGACCACGGGTAGGAGTCAAGGGTGATGACCACTGGATAGGTGCCAAGGGCAATGACCACTGGGTAGGCGCCAAGGGCGATGACCACTGGGTAGGCGCCAAGGGTGATGACCACTGGGTAGGTGTCCTGGTCAAGGATGATGACCACTGGGTAGGTGTCCTGTCCAAGGATGATGACCACTGGGTAGGTGTCCTGGTCAAGGGTGATGACCACTGGGTAGGTGTCCTGGTCAAGGATGACGCCCACTGGGTAGGTGTCCTGGTCAAGAATGACGCCCACTGGGTAGGTGTCCTGGTCAAGGATGACGACCACTGGGTAGGTGTCCTGGTCAGGGATGACGACCACTGGGTAGGTGTCCTGGTCAGGGATGACGACCACTGGGTAGGTGTCCTGGTCAGGGATGACGACCACTGGGTAGGTGTCCTGGTCAGGGATGACGACCACTGGGTAGGTGTCCTGGTCAGGGATGACGACCACTGGGTAGGTGTCCTGGTCAGGGATGACGACCACTGGGTAGGTGTCCTGGTCAGGGATGACGACCACTGGGTAGGTGTCCTGGTCAGGGATGACGACCACTGGGTAGGTGTCCTGGTCAGGGATGACGACCACTGGGTAGGTGTCCTGGTCAGGGATGACGACCACTGGGTAGGTGTCCTGGTCAGGGATGACGACCACTGGGTAGGTGTCCTGGTCAGGGATGACGACCACTAGGTAGGTGTCCTGGTCAAGGATGATGACCACTGGGTAGGTGTCCTGGTCAGGGATGATGACCACTGGGTAGGTGTCCTGGTCAGGGACGGTGACCACTGGGTAGGTGTCCTGGTCAAGGATGATGACTACTGGGTAGGTGTCCTGGTCAAGGATGGTGACCACTGGGTAGGTGTCCTGGTCAGGGATGACGACCACTGGGTAGGTGTCCTGGTCAGGGATGACGACCACTGGGTAGGTGTCCTGGTCAGGGATGACGACCACTGGGTAGGTGTCCTGGTCAGGGATGACGACCACTGGGTAGGTGTCCTGGTCAGGGATGATGACCACTGGGTAGGTGTCCTGGTCAAGGATGGTGACCACTGGGTAGGTGTCCTGGTCAAGGATGGTGACCACTGGGTAGGTGTCCTGGTCAAGGATGGTGACCACTGGTTAGGCATCCTGGTCAAGGATGACGATAGCTTCTAGAGCTCCAGAGAGGTGATGGTAAAAGATGCTCTTGCCTTCTAAATATAGATTAATAGAGACCCCTTCAGCATCCCTCTGAGCCTCTGCCATGCCATCCAGGTCCCCTGTCCTCATATTCATCCTTCTGCTTTCCCCAGGAACCATGGCCAGCAGGCCTTTCTCACATCTAATTACATGCTTGCCTGCAGGCAAACCTACCAGAAGAACATGACGTTCATGAAGATTATTCCCAGCTCCTGAGGGACTTCGAACAGTGGCTGCAGGTTGAAAACTCCAAGCTAGCTGGAATCGTCACTATGAGAACAGCCACAGCCAAGGACTTGAGGACCAGAGAGATGAAGCTGCAGGTCTGTTCCAAGGAATGATCCTAATGGGGTCCATGCCACCAGAAGTTCCTCAAATAAAGGAGTTCATACTTAATAGCTGTTTGTAAGCCAATTTGAGTCTAAGTAATAATTTTATATTTTTTTTGTTCAAATAGTTTAGAACTAATTTTTCATTGTATCTGTTTATCCATGCATGCATTAATGCATCCATGCACCATGCATTCATCTATCAATCATACATTTATGCATGTACCCATCCATTCACTTTATATTTCTCTATTTGAAAAATATCACCACGGATTGCTTGCTTTGGTATTGGTTAGCTGTCACTGTAACAAAACACCATGACAGCGAGTTGCATAAAACAACAGCTATTGTTTAACTCATGATTTTGACACTTGGTGATTTGAGCTCAGCTTGGTTTCTGCCAGTTCTTGGGCCCAAGACACATCTGTTGGACAACTTTATCTTTTGATGGATGTGGAATATCTAGGTAACCCTTGTGGGGGTCTGGAAGTTGGTGGAGACAAACAGGACATGGACCATGCATGTCTCATTCTCATATGGGACAGCCCAGACTGCTTCATGTATGTGGCTGCAGTGGGAATGGGAAAGGCCCTTAGATGCCTAAATTAGGGGCTTGCGTGCTAGGGTCACATGGATTCTTCTGTGTTATGCTGTACAAATAAAGTCAACAGGCCATCTCAGGATCAAGGGAAGAGAAAAGAGACTCCACCCCTTGATGTAAAGTCAAAGTATGGTGGACAGGGAAAGGGAATCCCACGCTTGTATTCAGTCCACCACTGCTCTCCCCTTCCTGCCATCCTGTTAGACATCTTGTTGCCATCCTGCTAGTCTTGGTCTGCATCTACTGCTATCATGAAATACTCCAGACTGAGTAATTTATAACAAATGAGAATTTCACCACTCCAAAGGCTAGAAAGTCCAAGTACCAGAACCTGGCAAGGTCTCCTTGTTGAGTCAGCATATGGCCAAAAGATGGAGGAGGCACAAAGAGGCAAAGGCCTTTTCATGGCAACAGTAGTCCAGCCCCTAAGGGTCGTTAACCCCACCCTCAGGGCCAGGTCATCTCTCAGTGATCCCATCTCCCATTACTGTCAGCTTGGGTTTGGGAAGGGATGACCGTTCAACCCATGGCAGTCACCAGACCCTTCTGGAGTCCCCTTCCTGGATGCTTCTGTCCCCTCTGCACTTACTGATCACCTGTTTATGGTAGCAGCTTCCTCCCTGCTCTCTTTTCTGGTGGACTGTCACCAGGTCATGGCTCCTTCTGCAGGCAGTCATGATCCAACAGAACCCCTAATCTGACCTTAACCCCCACCCCCAAGAAAGTTTTAGTATGGGTTCAAACCTAAGCCATTGTCCAAGACTCCCTAATCAAGCCCACACTGTGTCTCTTCTCCTTTATTTATGTGAAATCTCAAGGATATTTTAGGGTCCAAATTTCTTCCTATGTATCCTGCATCATTGGCAATCATTTGAACTGCATTTGTGGTGTGGACTCTTTATAAAAAATATCTGACAAGATGTCTTAAAATATCACTTTTGCCTTAATGACTTTTTCCCATATGTTAATGGAATCTACATTTTTTTTCTTCCCACTGTATATTTTTGTCTCTTTGTTTCTTTTGTGTATTTTTCACCCTTGACTCAGAGTATTGAATTTGGAATATTTTTTTTTCTGACTCAGCTTCCACTTGACTAATTGTCTTTCTGGCTGTGTCTCATTTGCTGTTATATATGTCTATGAAGGTCTTAACATTGGTTGTCATAGCGATCAGTTTTCGAGCTTGTATTTGGGTCCCTTTGATCTGGTTGGTTACATTCTCTGGCTTTCATCACATCTTTGATGAAATGTTTAAGCTTGTCTTTTAATTCTTTGAACTGTAACCCATCATAATTACACTGTCTAATAGTTCTGATATCTCCGGCTGTTTAGGAATATTTCTGCCACATATTTCTGCTTCTCATTCTTGGTGCCATGTATTATTGTGTGGTTACTTTTTGTCCTGAACAAAATACACATAAAAACTAATTTGAGACTTAGGATAATCTCTTCCTCCAGAGGGAATTTTGTTTGATATTTCCCAGAAGCAGGGGGCCTTAAGATTCTGGGGCTACTGAGTCCAAGTTCAAGTCTTGTAGTTCCCTGGCCCACTGAGATGATCTGGATGATATGTGTCCTCAAGGTTCAGATTCACTATGGTTCCCTTTACTCTGAGCGTAAGCCTGCAGGCATCCCGTCTACAAAGGGAATCACTTATAACTCCCTTCCTCTGCAGAGCCCAGGCTTTCGCTTTCACCACCTTACCCTTGGGAGGCTGTGAAAACACAGATTGTTTTCAAAGCTGGTATTATTCCCTCTAGGTTGGTAAAAGTCCTAAGAGCAAAAGGAGATCTGAACAAAGTCCTCGCTTTTCTGGGTTCTCATCCATCCCCAGAGCTTCTGTGATTTTGTTTACAGTGCTGGGGATCAAACCCAGGGCCTCAGACATACGAGTCACATGTTCTGCCCTGAGCTGCACTTCCACCGCCTTGGCTGCATTTTTGTCCTGACTCGCCTCTCCTATTTGTTATCCCATTGAAGGCTTTAAACGCTGCAATGTGGTCTCAGTGTGTAGCTCATCCCGCTGATGGGGCTACATATCACAGCAAGTCTTGCCACCCACCTCCCCGCTCAGATCTGTTGCCTGCCCTTCACTCCAATCATATCAAACTTGACCTCTCGTCCAGCCTGCAGCGTGGTAAATGCTGAGCAGCTTAGCCAGGGTCCAGGCTGGGACTGAAGCCTAGGCTCCAGCCTGTAGACCTCTCCTCCATCCCACTCCTCCTCTCAGGACTCCAGGAGAGAGCTGCAGTCTCCCCAACTCAACATCAGTGCTGCCAGTCTCAGCAATGCCAGCAGGTGGCATGTCCATGGTGATCACTTTGTGATGGTGACCACTGAGACAAACCTCTTGTGGTCCTGGAATGTCAGTGTTAAAGGTAAACACTGTGGGATGTTCTCTAACATTCCGGGTGCATAGATGAAGGCTGGAAAGGCGGCTCAGAGGTTAAGAGAACTTGCTGCTCTCACGGACGACTGGGTTCAGTTCCCAGCATCCACATGGTGGCTCACAACCGCCCATAACTCCAGTTCCAGGGGCTCTGACGCCCTCTTCAGACCTCTGCAGGCACCAGGCACACTCTTGATGCAATACATATGTGCAGGGAAAACTTGCGTACACATAAAATAGACATTCCTAAGACCAATTTTTAAAAAGAATATTTATCTTATGTGTGTGAGTGTTTGCTTGCATGTATGTCTGTGCATCCCATGTGTGTCTGGTACCCTTGGATGAAAGAAGAGGACATCAGATCCCTCGGGACTAAAGTTAAAAGTAGTTACGAGTCAACATTTGGGTGCTAAGAATTGAACCCAGGTCCTCTTCAAAAGCAGCTGTTACTCTTAACCATTGAGCCATTTCTCCAACCCTAAAAGCATTTTTTTAAAAAAAAAAAACTTGCATGGATGAAAGTCTCATTTTTACTGGTCCTGTCCACATCTCCCAGCATGCCTCAGGTAGCACTTGATTGGCATCTCCTTCTAAGCCAGGTGGGGCTCTTAGGCCACAGGACAGCCATAGCATGATGCTACTTTTTCTCTCAGGAGCTAGAGGCGCGGATCCCAGAAGGCCAGCATCTGTTTGAGAACCTGTTCCATCGCAGGCCAGCAAGGGACCCCTCCAATGAGCTGGAAGATCTGCGCTATCGATGGATGCTATACAAATCCAAGCTCAAGGACTCTGGCCACTTGCTGGTAGGTGCTGCGGGTAAAGGGTGGGGATCCAGGAAGCTTGGGAGAGACAGAGCTAGATCTATTTAGTGCATCCTGGTGCGTCCATACACCAGGCCAGTGTGACTGCTCAGAGGAAGTGAGGGGCACACCCGCGTCTCAGGCACTCCACTTAGGTCATTCTTTGTCCATCTTACCTCCTGGTGACACTGGAGTTCTGTGAACAGTGTCCGGATCTCTTGTTCCCACCATGTTAGAGTTTTATGTACATTTCCCATTTGGTCCTAGAGCCACCTTCTGCTGGAACCTCTGCACCCCATTCTCCAGAGGGGATAACTGAGTCCTACCCCTGACCCCAATGCTAGAAACTCAGGTCACAGATCTTCCCTGCAGAGGCAACATTCTGTTAAATCTCTGGGATGTGGTGCTGCTGTAGGGATGTGTGGGTTAGATGCTGGGGATGCATGGGGTGGATGCTGGGATGCATGGGGTAGATGCTGGGATGCATGGGGTGGATGCTGGGATGCGTGGGTGGATGCTGGAATACATGGGTTGGATGCCAGCAGTCCTGAGAGTTAGTCCTCTCTTCCTCTGACCTTGGCCTAGCATTTTTTTTTTCTCCTGGACTTCCTGTCTCCTACACAAACCATGGGTAATGATAGCTTTTGTTAAATATTATGGTCTCCTGACACGCCCATACAGGAGAAGGGGTATCCTTCACCCTGGACTGATGATGTCGGCAAGACAAAGAAGTTAAGCTTCCTAGGCCCAGGAAGGAATAGGCAAAATGCCCACCTTAAGCCTCCCTTTCAGGCCTCAGAGCCCAGAAGCCATAGCCTCGGGCACTCCAGGCTTTTCCAGCCCCACAACTGCCAGTTTGGCCACTAGGTGGCAGCCCAGCCCAAGCCAGCTGGGCCACATCCCCAGCCCTGGCCAAGGCCATCCAGATGGTGCCACCTGGACCTGAAGTGTGTTAAAAAGCTCATTAAACAGAATCCCCTGCTGGCGCAGGTTGTCCAGATGACCAGAAATTTTAACGAAATACTCCCCTGACAATATGGATATTCTCCTACGGGTTCTGCTGGGGTTGAAGTTTTATGCGCCTTGCTGATTTTTTACCCATTTCTTTCCATTCCCTAAAATAACAGACGCAGAGTTCTCCAGAGGAGCTGATTGCATTCCAAAAGGTATGTGTCTGCCGTCTGCTCATACAACTAAAAGACCTGTGATTCTGGGGCAGGGTGTCTGCATTTTCTAGAATGTTCCATGACATCTGAAGGGCATGGATATAGAGAACCAAGTTTGGGTTGTAATGGGTTGGGCCCTGAGGTATGTGTTCTCAGGAAGCCCCAGCCTCAGGAAAGGATTGAAAAGAGTGTGTGGATTAGCCTTCACACACACACACACACACACACACACACACACACACGCACACGCACAATGGAGGAAGGACCTTAGATTTGTTGGGCCCTGAGGTATGTGTTCTCAGGAAGCACCAGCCTCAGGAAAGGATTGAAAAGAGTGTGTGGATTAGCCTTCAGACACACACACACACACACACACACACACACACACAATAGAGGAAGGACCTTAGATTTGTCATCCAGACCCAGAACACACTGGGTACTGGATTATCGGCTAGACACTGCTTTGATTACTGTACCAGCAGGTGTAAACCAGGACTGACTCAGGAGCCTGGAATATTCTGGGAAAATTGGATTGTGTGGCGTCTTTGGTCCTAGGGGACACATTAGAAAGGAGTGTCCGAGTCCTTTGCTCTACCAGGCCTGTGATTTTTAGTCACAGCTAAAGTGAGAACAGTACCAGTTCCTGCCTCTAGGTGGCGCACCCACTGCCCGAACTCTGTGTTCCAGGACTGGTTTCTAGGGAGTCTCAGTTCCGTTTCTTATGCTTTGACCAAATATCTAACAGAAAAAACAAAACAAAACAAAAAACAAAACAAAACAAAAAAACAAAACAAAACAAAACCTTGAGAAGGGATTTGCTTTGGCTCAGGGTTTCGGAGTGTGCAGCCACAGTCGTTAGGACTCTGTGCCTGGGCAGTCTGTCTTTGTATTGGGAGCCTGTGGCAGAGGATGGCTCTCCACTTCCTGACCAACCAGGGAGGGAGAGAAAAAGTGAGAGGTTGAGGGAGGGGGCAGTGAAGATGGGGAGGAGGAGAGAGGGAAAGGGAGAGGAGAAGAGGGAGAAATTGAGGACCCAGACCTGGTATGACCCTCAGCCAGCTAGGCCCCAACTCCCATGTGGTCCACAACCTTCCCTTATTAGGAACCACCAGCTAGGGATCAAGCAGTCAAAATCATGAGACTGTGGGGATATTTCCGATTCCAGTCAGGACACTTGTGGCTAGGGCATCTCATTTTACCCCAACACTGACACCAAGTATCATTCTTAGCTCAGCTCTAAGCCTGGGGGGAAATGGCATGAGGAGCTGGCGTGTCCACCAGGCTTGTGACAGCTGATAGCATCAGCCCTCAGGTCTCGACAGCTACGTTTTAACTTTTTACAGGTTCCTGTCCCTTGCTGTCCCCAGTGCTGCCCTTGATTTCTTGTCTAACATCGACTGTAGTGACATGAGCCCCCAGCATACTCTGGCTCACGGAACCTGGAGTCACGTCAGATCCTCATTCCCCAGAGTCTAAATCCCAGGTGTGGGCTCCCTGGATCCATTCCTGGCCTCTGGCAACTTCAGGAGAATGGGTGACTCAGGGATCAAGTAGGGCTTATTATGAACCAAAGCTACACCCAGGGCCCTTTGCCAACCAGCTTTATGGCCTTGGACAAATCACCTTGCCTTAGGGTTCCCTTTCCCATGTGTGAAGTGGAAATGTCAATGTTGTCTTAATTTACTCTGTGACTTAATTTTAAAGATGGTGTGAACCAGAATACACCAAGGCAGACATGTCTCTCCCAGGATTCTCCCTAGTTCAGAAGGGTATGAACCTCAGGGACTAGGAAAGGAGGTTTGGAAAGGGCAGGTGGCCCGGACTGCCTGGCCTGGTGGCCCCTGGTGGAAGATGGAAGTCCCACTATTCAATCTGCCTGTTGTTACTTCACTTTAAGTCCCTCCATGGTTAGGAGTCTCCATCCACGCAGCCTAGGCTAGAGTTGGTCAGAGGTGGCCTACCTTTCGACACTGAGACATAACATCTCCTACAAAGTTACGAAGAGTTTTGGACCACGTCCCTAGCTACCCTGGGGTGCACGTGACATGTGGGCCATGGATTGCACACCTCTGTCAGACAGATTCTAAGTGGTGGCTGCATCCAGATCCCTGGCACGGTCATGGTCTCCTCTGACTTCTCGTTGTTCATGTATGCTGTCAGTGCCGAGTCAGTGATGACTCTGTGCCTGTTTAATGTGCTCAAAACCCATCAACCAGCCAAAGAGTGACAGTGTGCCATCTTGGAGCCTGGGCACCTGGTGGGTGCAGAGCGGCAGGAACATCTATGCAGAGCTGGGGCTTGGCCATCTCTGTGTCAGAGGGTTCTAGAGCAACCACGAGAGCTCACAACCCCAGTCGTCGCCAAATAGCCCTGTTTAACTACAGCTAGGAGATGCCAGCCATTGTACTGTTGGAAATACTAACTAGAAGGGTTGATGTGTTTATCCGTGCTATGTTTCACAGGTAGGTGTATGAAATGCTGACTTCAGTTCTGGCTTCCTTGTAAGCCAATAAACCTCAGCTTCCTATAACGAAGGAAGCTATGCATGGCGGCTTGATATTCAGAGACAATTAGGATGGCCTGTGAACCCAGATGGCTGTGCCCAGCCCTGAGCTTCTGATCCACTGGTCTAGATAGGTTGTAAATCTGTATTTCTGACACAGTCCCAGGCGTTGCTCACACTTCTAGTTCAGAGACCACACTTTGAGAACCGGTGTTTTATGCTCTGGATTCAGATCCAGGCTCAGTCACCGGTGTGTGTGACATTACTTGACCATGATCTTGCAATGGCGGAAATGAGTCCTCTAAACTAAAGGCAGGAAGTTTCCTTCCAAACAACTGGCACATAGCAGGCTCTAAACATCGTGTATGTGAGGACCTGAGCCTCAGAGGCGTGTGAACACTGTTTCTTCTTCTTTTTCCTCCTCCTCTTCCTCCTTCTTTTGGAAAGAGCAGCGACACAGAGATCTCGTGTTAGTCAGTTTTTGGTTGCTATTAGAAAATGCTTGAGAAAATCAACTTATAAAGAGGGAAGGGTTATTTGGCCCACAAGTTTTACAGAGTTTCCCATCCATGGTCAGTTGTCCCTGTTGCTTTGGGCCTTTAGTGAAGTAATATATTGTGGTGGGAACCTGAGGTGGAACAAAACTACCCACCTCATGGCCAGGAAGCCAAAGAAGAGAAAGAGAAGATCCCGGTCTGTTCCACGATCCTTTTCAAGGAAACACCCCCTAATGACCTAAGGGTCCTCCGATGGGTCCCACCTCCTTCATCATTGTTACTTATTTCATGTGTTTGAGTGTTTCACCTGCATTGTGTCTGTGCAGTACATGCATGCAGTGCCTTTAGAGGCCAGAAGAGGGCATTGGAGGCCCTGGAACTGGAGTTAGTTGTAAACTGCCCTGTGGGTGCTAGGAATCGAACCTAGGTCCTTTGCAAGAGCAGTGTTCTTAACAGCTGAGTCATCCGTCACCCCACCTCTTAAGGATTCCATTCCTCCAAATACTCTAGCATGGAGAACCGTTCTGTAACTCATGAGTCTCTATGGGACACTCAAAACCCAAATTCACAGTCCTCATGTGTTTTTAGCTTAGGTTAGGTATGTGCACATATGATAGGACTCCACACATGTGTGCACACACAGATGCACACACATGCATAAACTCACACGAGCATGCACATATACACATATGCACACATGTACTTGTGCACACAGACATGCGCACACACACGCAGAGGCCAGCCAGGTAGAACAGAAGTGCCTTCTGCAGAAGTTGAAATCACACCAACTTCAGACCCTTCTGTGTGTTATTTTCAGCCCACAGGGAAGAAAGACACCCACTGTGGAGCTGATGATGTATGTGCAGTTGATTCTCCACACTTCCTTTACTCCCCCCAGGCCTCAAGTCATCTGAGGCTCCAGCTACGTCAGCAGCTTCAGCCTGTTTGTTTGCATAAACAGAATAATTAAGATTTATTAAACTTGTACTGCCAGCGTGTTAGCCAGCTCGGTGCCAGTGGATGCTTGCCTGCAGCGCTCAGACACACAAATTGTAGCTGCCGCTTGAATGGCAGCCGGGCCGTGAGTCACCTCAAGCCCCGCTGTGGCCTGGGACGTGTGTCGCCCTCCCTGAAAACAGTCTTTGCACTGGAGCCCTGAGCTGACTGGAGCTGCTGCTCTCCAGTTTGCAGGGGCAGGCACAGTGTGCCAAGGCGCTCTTGGTGCACTCGCCCATGTGTGGTGCTACCCAGGAGTGGACTATCTGATCGTATTCCCATGGTTTTAAGATTCATAATTTATTTTACGTTTTTTCCTCGCTGGAATTTAGATTTTTGTTCCATTCTTCTTCACTCTTCTCTCTCCCTTCTTCCCTTCCCAGAGATTCCCATAGCCCAGGCTAGCCTCAAATTCACTGTGAGGATGAAACTGGATTTCTAATTCTGCCTCTACCTCCTGAGTGCCAGTGTCACAGTGGATGCTATCATACCCGCTCACCCAGTGTCACGGTGGTCACTATCATACCCGCTCACCCAGTGTCACGGTGGTCACTATCATACCCGTTCACCCAGTGCCACAGTGGATGCTATCATACCCGTTCACCCAGTGTCACGGTGGTCACTATCATACCCGTTCACCCAGTGTCACGGTGGTCACTATCATACCCGTTCACCCAGTGTCACGGTGGTCACTATCATACCCGTTCACCCAGTGTCACGGTGGTCACTATCATACCCGTTCACCCAGTGTCATGGTGGTCACTATCATACCCGTTCACCCAGTGTCACGGTGGTCACTATCATACCCGTTCACCCAGTGTCACGGTGGTCACTATCATACCCGTTCACCCAGTGTCACGGTGGTCACTATCATACCCGTTCACCCAGTGTCACGGTGGTCACTATCATACCCTTTCACCCAGTGTCACGGTGGTCACTATCATACCTGTTCACCCAGTGTCATGGTGGCCGCTACCATACCCACTTACCCGGTGCTAGGGATCCAGCCAGGATCATACATGCTAGACGCACACTCTACCTACTGAGCCACGACATTGCAGCTCCTTTGTGAAGGCTGTTCAGTTGAGTGCATTCTGGCATTGGTGGGGGTTGCTTTGTTTCTTGGTAGTAAGATAATGGCTGCCTTCCAGCAGGTGCCCGGGATGGGTGGGGTACAATGATACCAACCTCAGAAGACATCGGTCGGCTTCCCATGGTAGAGTTTAGTTATCACAGCTGAGGGTTAAAAGTTCAAAACTGGAAGTATGGTTTCCTCTGAGTATGTGTTGCTTTCTAAGTCAAGTCTTTGTGAGTTTGGGACTGTGGGCCCACCAGCCAAGGGCTTGTGTCATCCCTGGCCGAATCTATGGTTCTGTTGTGCCGTTTCCTTTCGAATCCTGGAATGGCTTAAGGAAACTGCAGAGATCCTCGTGGCTGGCAAAACCAACATCAGCTGCATGTCTTAATTTTCTCACTGTTGTGAAAAATTACAAAAGCCACTTAAGGAGGGATTTGAGGGTACAGTGGGGAACAGTGGGGACTTCCCTTGTGTGGAGTCATGGTGTCTGGTCACACTGTGTCCACAGTCTGGGAGCAGAGAGAGGTGGATGTTGAATGGTTTCTCCTTTTTCTCTCCCTCCCTCCCTCCCTCCCTCTTTCTTTCTTTCTTTCTTTCTTCTTTCTTTCTTCAAGACAGGGTTTCTTCTTTTTATTCATTCCAGATCTCAGCCCATGAGATAGTGCCACCCACAGTTAGGACAGGTCTTCCTACCTCAACTGGATCTAGAACTCCCTCATAGACATAGATGTACTCAGAGGCTTGTTTCCATAGTGACTCTTGATTGACAGCCAAGACTAACCATCGCCGCTCTCTTCCCAGTGGGCAGACTGTGCAGCTGTGGTCACACAGTTTATCCAGCATGTCTCCTTGCCCCATTCCCTCTTGAACCTCCTAGTCGCTCACCGTGTATCTTGCCTTGGTTCACAGAGTCGACAGCAGAGGCGGTGGCGGAATCCCTGCTCTCTCCTACAGAAAGCCTGCCGGGTAGCGCTGCCACTACAGCTTCTGCTCCTGCTCCTTCTGCTGCTGCTCTTCCTGCTGCCGGCCGGGGAGGAAGAGCGCAGCTGCGCCCTGGCCAACAACTTCGCCCGCTCCTTCGCTCTTATGCTTCGGTACAATGGCCCCCCGCCCACCTAGTCCTCTGGGACCTACAGGTGACATTCTGCAGTCCCTCTGAGGCTGGCTTTGGGGGGAAGCTGGACAGACCAGACACCCAGAACAGTCTCGATCTAAATGCTGCATCCGTTCCCAGAACAAACTTGCTTTTTTCTACAATGTCATTTCTGTCTATTTATACTGAATGTGTACTATGTGTGGTTAGGGAATAATGTACAGAATTTTTATATGTGTGTATGTATATGCTCAGTGTAGATAACTTCAGACTCGATGTTTCTTTGTGCCTACGGGAGTCCCCAGCAGTATGTTTCCCTAATGGGATTTGTGACACTCGTGCCTTAGCCTTCTGTCATCCCTGGCAGACAGGAGAAATCACACATTACTTTTATGATGACCAGGAATCCAGGCGTCAGTGCAGAAGTCGCCGAGCTGTGAGCGTAGCTGAGCAGAACCGGAGTCCTAGGGCTCTTGTGCATGTGACTAGGTTAAAGCCGCAGGCACAGTCAGAGCAGTGAGGCCAGACAAGGGACAGAGGGACAGGGGGACAGGGGGACAGGGGGACACCGAGAGAGGAGCAGAAGACCTGTAAAGGAAGGGCAGTGTGCCACAGAGTGATGGTGCTTAGCACTCCACCCCCACGCAGCAGCCACTGATAGCACAGACCGCGAGGAATGCCGTGACCATGACTGTGACCCTGTGTCTTCAGGAAGTGGCTGGGGTTTTGTTTGTGTGTTTTCTCCAGGAGAAAGAAAAAGGAAGACGAACTTGGCATTTTATTCTGATGCACAAGGGTGAAGTACGTTGCCAGTGGCCTGTGCCAGTCCCAGGAGGCCTGTGCCATTTTGTTGTTGGGTTTTCTACCGGCTAGGGTAACGAACTGAGGTCAGAGTGGAAACACGGGCCCACACGAGGCAGAGAAGACTCAGGCCATCTGAAGGGGTCTCTCTTCCCTTCCGAGAAGGAACTGTGTGGACTGGTGGGTCTACAGGGCTGGGCAAGTCCTACCTTCTTCCCCCGTGGGCCTAGGGCTCACCACCAAGAACCAGGCAGGAGCAGGCAAAGTGGGCTCCAGGCACGCGTGGGAGGCATCTGGTGTGACTCCAGGCTATGCCTGAGGCTGGAAACATAACCAGGGAATGCTGGAATGATTCCTAAGAGGGTTAAAACTGGATCAGGTTTGACCTAAACTGACATTTTTTTTCTTAGAATTTTTAGAAAATTCTTAATGCCCTTCTTTTAACAGATGGAATTTGTCTGTAAGGTGTGGATACCCTCAGGCTTAGCCATCAGAGGCACAACCAGTGTTAAAGACCTGGAGAGGCACTTTAAACACGACAAATACTGAGGCCCTAAGAGGGTCCTGACTCAAAGGTCACCACCCTTCATACACACACACACACATACACACACACACACACACACACACACACACACACACACAGTCCCTCCCAAGCTGGCATCAGGCTACACCATGTACAGCTTCCATCTTAGCACAGAACCTAGGAAAGGCTGGGCACTGACTAGGAGGAATACAACACCTTAGGGCTTGTTGCTTGGTCTGTAACCTCAGCCAAAAGGCCTCCCCTGGACCCAGCCACTTTGCTGGGAAATCAACGATTGGTGAACCCCGACCTCAGACCCAGGTAGCCGAATCCTGATGCTCACTAAGGCCATTGGTCCACTTAGTCAGAACTGTGGCAAAGGACATTAACGCTTCCTTTTCTACTTCCCCATTTCACAGGTGAGAAACCTGAGGCCCAGAGAAGGGAAGTCACTTACCCATAGCCACACAGCAAGAACCTATAAAGCCGTAAGTGGGTTGGTTACCACAGTCTTCAAGTGATAGCACAACCTCCCCATATTTTCCTTCCCAAGAAAAAGAGGGCTAGGGTGTGGCTCAGAGGTGGAACACTTGGCCAACAGGTGTAGGTCCTGGGTTCCATCCCTAGAACTTACGAGAAATAAAGAGAAAACAGAAAAGAGAGCTGTTTACTATGAATGTAGCCCAGTCTCGTGGCAAATGCCGGGGAGGGTGAAGCTGCGATATGTGGGTGGTGGGGTGGTTGAGAACATTGTATTTTTAACTATTGACAGTGATACTGTGGGTTGCTCATTTGCATAACTTTTTTAACAGAGGGGATTGATATTTTTATTACTTTCATATGAATATAGCTGGAATATGACATACTAGCCATTTCTGGGTGCTTTTCAGACACAACTTCTTTTGCTTAAAATGGATATAGACACCTGCTATTGTGACGTGGTCTCCTAGCCAGTAACCATAGCAAGTTGGAAGGTGTCCCTGGAGAGAAGTGTTGGAGCTTAAAAAGCTGACAAGGTCTTTGTTAGGAGTGTTGTGTGTGTATGTATGTGTGTGTGGATGTATGTGTGTATATGTGTGTATGTATGCGGGTATGTGGGTGTGTGTATGTGTGTATGTATGTGGGTATGTGGGTGTGTGTATGTGGGTGTGTGTATGTGTGTATGTATGTGGGTATGTGGGTGTGTGTATGTGGGTGTGTGTATATGTGTATGCATGTGGGTATGTGGGTGTGTGTATGTATGTGGGTATGTGGGTGTGTGTATGTGGGTGTGTGTATATGTGTATGCATGTGGGTATGTGGGTGTGTGTATGTGTGTATGTATGTGGGTATGTGGGTGTGTGTATGTGGGTGTGGGTTTTATTATTCTTTTGTCCTGCGTACAGTGTTCCTATGTAACCATCCTAGGTCAGCCCGGGAATATGTGTGTGTAAGGGTCCAAGCAGGTAATATCAGTGCTATTTGTCCCCTACCCTGTACTCCTCTTTCTGCCCTCTTCTGCACCATTTGCTCTCTGAGTGCAGAACGCAAGGGCAGAGTACATGTTTATAATGCAGGTGGAGTAAATGGAGTTAGTGGTCAGGACAGCAGGTGAGCTAGGAAGCCCTGGAGGTGCTGGTGGGAAGGGTACAGGGGCCACTCTCTAGACACAGGCTGTGATGGTTTGAGAGAAAATGGCTCCCACAGGGAGTGTCACTGCTAGGATGTGTGGCCTTGTTGGAAGAAGTGTGTCACTGTGGGGTGGGCTTTGAGATCTCTTTTGCTCAAGTGTCCCTCAGTGTGACAGTCAGTCAACATCCTACTGTCCTCTGGTAGAGATGTAGCCAGCACCATGTCTGCCTGCATGCCGCCATGCTCCCTGTCATGATGATAATAGACTGAATCTCTGAAACTGTAAGCGAGCTACTCCAATTAAATGTTTTCTTTGTGGCCATGGTATCTCTTGACAGCAATAAAAAAAAAAAAAACAAAAACAAAAAACAAACCCTAACTAAGACACCGGTGATGTTTTTCCATGGGAAACCAGCAGCAAAGGGCTGGCATCTCATTGATTCCCACAGCGCCCAGCCTAGTTCAAGCTGAGAGACTAAGGGGGACTTTTCTTCTTCCCTTTAGTGTGGAGCCAGGACTGACCAGATCGACAAGAGCTGCAGAGGGTTTGAGAAGCAAAGCCGAGCTGACCTGGCCGGGGTAATCAGATGGGGACAGGAAAGGAGGAGAGCAGAGTCAGGGACCGCAGAGGCTGCACTGGTGCACACTAAGTTGCCATGGAACCAAAGTTTATGTTGTGTGTGTTTACCACTGTTGAAGAACGGAGACAGCAAGGAAGGGAGATAGGAAGTGGGGAGTAGAAGAGAGAAGGAAGGAGGGAGGGAGGGAAAGAGAGAGAGAGAGAGAGAGAGAGGAGGAAGATGGGTGGGTAGGTAGATGGATGGATAGACAGACAGACAGACAGACAGACAGGGGAAGTGCCCTGTCCCCTTTTCATCCTAACCCATTTATTAAGCCCTTGGAGTTCCTTCTTGGGACCACACATGTTGGTGCCTTAAGATAAACAAAATCCAGGTCCTACCCTTTGGACATCCTGGACCAGGAAGTGTCTGCTCTGTATAAGATGTTGAACCCAGACTAGGGTCTTGGCCCTTGACTTTGCTCATCTGCCTCCCACATGTGCTGCTCAGCCCACCAGGAGCTAGAGGGCCATGGAGGAAACACAGGGGGACTGGGAATAAGGAAGAGTGTGTCTCGTGGCCTCTCTGCAGATTAAAAGTGATTGTGACTTTGAGGGCAGAGGAGATGGACTAGGGGGGCCAGCTGAGGGACAGCAGAAAGGGGCTGAACACAGCAGAGGGGGAAGGAAGCTCACAGTTGGGCCTCTGGAAGGCTAAAGGTGGATCCTTGGGGTCTGAGCACCGAGGCCTGGCAAGGTTGTCTATGGCTGTGGACATCTAAATTTTTAGACACAATTCAGGAGGGGTCACACCCCACTTCCCTCTCGTGGAGGTCAGCCTATAGTGAAGGCTCCTCTCTGTTCCCCTCACCCTAGTCTTGTAATCTGTCCAGGTCAGCTTGGAAGAGAGAATAGGGCCATTCCCTCCCTTAACATACCTGTGACAGACATGAGTAGCTGGTCATTGAGCCTTTCTCTCCAGCCTGAATGGCCAAACCACTTTAAGTGGTACTGCCAATTTGTCCTGTGGGAAAAGTACCTGCTTGTCATCCTCATCCCTGATCCTAGCCCCCTCAGAAGACCAAATTCATGTCTGCTTCTTTCCTGCAACCCCCACATTAACTTGGAACATTCCAGTAATAAGTCAGTTTTCCTTAGCAAGGAAGAAAGGTAGAATGGATCAGGCTGGTGCCTGGGTGTATCAGCCACTATTGGAGCCAAAATTCCAGGTTCATTTTGAGCGCTGCATCTGGGTCTCATGCTCTGTTAGTAGAACTTAGAGGTGTGGCCTCTGTGCTGTCCGCCAGCCCCTGTTGGTTGTCAGGAGTCCCTGAGCCCCATCGTGGAGCGCCCATCCGGAAACCTGGGAGTGAAGAGGTGCACTTCAGAGGCAGCTCCCCTGTCCTGCAGAGCCCGGGCTGCACTCCCCACCCTGTTCTGTGTTCACATCTTCCAGGAAGCACACAGTGGCTTTCAGTCTCTCTTGGCTACTCTGAGCTCCTAAGAGCGAATCCTGGAAAGGAAAAAAGGACCACAGCTCTTCCAGACTAGTGCTAACCTTCTGAGACCCACCATCACCCAGCAGACAGACCCCAGCCTTTCCAGCACGGGATTGCAACTGGAGGACTTACGATCAGCCAACATTTCCCCCTCAGCCCCAAGGCACAAGAGGAGGACTTTCTATTAATCGACATATGAGCAAGGAGAGGTGGGGTTATTTTCAAAAATATAACCAAAGAACAAAAGCCTAGGGTCTCTCGGCACAAGCCTTATAGGCAGCCCACAGGACTCAGCATCCTCCAGGCACCTGCCTGCCTGTGGTTCCCATGGTAACATCATAGGTGCTCACAGCATGGTACCCAGTCATTTCTGAACACAGGAGATAGCAGTGGCAGAGGAGTTCGGCTTCCCAAGAGATTCCAGGCTTCCTTTCAAGCCCAGAGCTGACCAAAGGCCTCAGCACCTCTCAGCTCTGTGGCCATATGATTCCTTG